TGTTGCGGTTCCAAATCTAGGGCGCCATCCACAATCACATTCCACATAACACCATAACACTGGGCGTCCCGGTAGAACATAGATTGTATTGCCATTGGGGTTCTCTCCCTGCTATTAATAAAACTGATCGTAAAACCCAACAACCCCTAAAACACATATTATTATAAGACATATTACAAAATTCAGCAATTTTGGATTAAATTTTGCTAGCCATTTTTAATTGTTGTCATCATGGATTCAGATCAGTTTTGAATCCGGCGACATCGAAAACCGTGTAAATGACATGTTACAAGTAGTATCCAACAGAAAATAATGAGGATTAAATTAACATCCGCCGATTTGTGTTGCTGCCTTTTGGCTTTTCGAAATTTATCTTTAAATTCAGAGACATTGAAAACCATATAAAAGACATAGCAAAGGTAATATCTTAAGAAATTATCGCCGCCATTTTATTCCCAAATTGATGTTGTTGTTTTTGGGGGTGTTTTTAATGATATTATATTACCAAATTTGACAACCATTTTGAAAGAAATGCCCACCACCAATGAAATATACATTTTTTTTAATTGATGTTTGCCAAATTCGATTTTTCAGCACATTTCGCCTGCATAACCACTCTGTGTTTTAGGAATTTAAAAAGAAATTATTTATCCTCCCACCGGGCCCGTATCTACAGGGGGCGCCCCCCCCCCCCCCCGCGTGAAATGCTCGCCCCCCACGCTCAGAAATTGCTAACAATCATTAAAGTATACACAGTTCCTTATATTAACCTAAAAAAACTACGCTTCCCGACGCAACAGACAACACCCAGATCCTATTTGAAGTAGTGGACAGCGTTTTGACAGAAATGGAACGGAGATTCATCAATCAAGGGTGGTTGTATGAGGCGGTCCACTGCCATGAGCAGAAGATCTGAAAAATTCTTAGATCTAAAGACTCTTGCTCCATTATCGCGCTTGGGAATTACCATACCATCAAGTGCGGAACTTCAAGTCTGTAAGGCTTACATTGATCGTCTAAACAGTAAACATCCCTATTGACGAACTTGACTCAAGCAAATTGTTAGAATTATTGTATACAAATAGTGCGGCCTTTTCCGATACCTACGCTTTGGCTGCTACAATAGCTACATTCGGGCCAAGCAGTGCAGTATGTGAGGCAACATTTTCTACCATGGCCAGTATAAATAGTGAGCAACGTCGCTCCATGACGTACATGCGCCATCGTAACTTGGTTATGTTGGCATTTGAGCGAAGACGAACTAAAATGATTGACATGGACCAATTTATTACCAAATTTCAACCAAAACACACGCGACTGCAACTATCATAAACTAACTGTTTGATGCCAGGAGCGAAAAAATTATTAACATTTACCAGTACTGAGTACCGACAAAGTAAAGTGCGACTCGAAACAAAAATTTAGCGGTATTTATTTAAAACGCTATGCTATCAGTATGCGCATATTATTAATCCCACGGTATCTCATTACTTTATAAACCATTTTTTTTTGTACTAATCTAAAATAGTTTTAAATAAATTTTAAAAATCACGATTTTTTTTGTTTGAATACTTATTTTAAAATGCTTATTAGACGCCTATGTAACTACATAGCATGATGATTACAACAGTCTGTTAGAATGACCTTTCCGAAAATTTCCTCAAAATGTTCGCCCCCCTACCGAAAGGTAATGCCCCCCCCCCCGCTTAATGGTGTCTAGATACGGGCCCGCCTCCCACCACTGAAAGACACTGATTACGAGATATCGTTTTCTGAAATTTCCCCGATTTTGAGTTTGTCTGACATATTTATCATTGAACCAAACTACATTGGTTTCTTTTGCAATTTGTTTAGGATAAATAATTGTAGACCGTAAAACGTTATCCCCCCCCCCCCCCCAATAAAACGTTTTGTTAAGTAAAGCTATTTATCCCTCCACCACTGAAAGATACTGATTACGAGATATCGCTTTCTGAAAATTCTCCGATTTTGAGTATGATTTTGCAATTTGTTTAGGATAAATTGTAGCCCGTAAAACATTATCCCAAGACAAAAATAAAGCTGTATGACGCCATGACGTCATAGTTTTTTTGTGGCGCCATAGTTGGGACCCAAGTAATACCCCTACAAGAAATGCAAAACGGGTATGCTGAAGAGATCGTGCTATGAACGTGTATTTATAGAAAGGCATAAAGTAAGGGCGATAATCTAGATAGGATTAGGAAACTACAGAAAAATTTAAGATAAATATTAAATTAGATCATTATCCAATATGTAGTCGGTTATATAGGCCTACTTATAAGATATGTCAAACTTGGTATGTTGAAGAAATGGAAGTTTCGAAATTTCTTTAAAAATGCGCAAATGTGTACCGCCTCAGGCAGTGCACTTAAAATAAAGAGATTTTATTCTGGAAAGAGATTGTTGTTTATTGGCGGCTATTTTACTACTTCAAAGCCAAATTTGTCCGTTTTGTCGAAAATACCAACATTAAATTTATTGTTAATTATTTTAATTTCCAGTTCAAGAACATGTGCATTTATAGTGGCAGTTTTTTTATTTAAACATGCATTATGCATGAGCAAAATCTGCTTATTACAAGTCTTTCTTTAGGCCTGAAATGTTATCTAAATTATCAATTAGACATTAATTAACTTATCCAGACCATAATAAACTCTCGATGTCAAGGCTAGCCATCGATGTTGGCTGGATTAGATTCCTATATGCCGCTAACGGCTATCGATAATTAAATCAATAAAAGTGGATAATCGAGACTATCCTGTTTATATTAATGATTTTAGTAATGATGACCGAGACTATGCAAAAATATCACCCGCTTCTTTCTCGGTTCATAGTGGATCAATTTGACTGAAATTTTCAGCAAATTACCTTTACACTATCTAGTTTTTAACTATTATAGCGAGAACTACCATCTCTTTATCTTATCTCCCATAATGTATCTTTAATATTAGTTCTGGGGGATGTATTTCACTTTTATATTTGTTGAAAGTTCCGTTATCATTGATAGGTGTTATGTCATCAATGTATCGGAAGATATAGTTTAGACTTTTAGCTACTTTGTAATCCGTTTTTCGTTTATGATCCTCAAAGCAGAATTCATATTTATATAAATGTGCGTTTGCCATAAATGGGGCGGGACCAGTTCCCATTGGTAAACCAATAGTTTACTGTATTATCTGATCCCCAACCTCAAATATGACATTGTCAATGAGGAAATGTATAATTTTGTTTAAACTTTTCTTTATCAAAACCTGGTGTTGGCATTGCGACGTTTATAATCCATATTTAGCATCTTCTGAGTAAATGGCCATCAAGTTTCTGCCTTTCCCGAAAGCTCCATTAAAATTTTTATCCACAAACCAATCCAAATTATCTTAAAGATCTGAATATTGAAGCATAGTATACAAAGTAGAAAAATCAAAGGTTTCTGTAGTTTTTGCATTAAGTATTTGATTGATTTTATCTAAAGTTTCTACGATGGGTTTATTTTTCATCAATTATGAAAAAACTATTAATGCCAGTATAACTGCGAGGTGTTCTGCACCAAATGGCATGTTGGGTTTGGCATAATTTAAGTCCTTTGGTAATTGTTTTAGCCAAAGGTTTTGTTTGGCAGTTGCTAGAGGTTATTGTGTACCAGAATTTTACTGGGTTTTTATGGAATTTAGATATAGAATAAATGTAATTTGTGCAACTATTTTAACCTTATCTTTAATATCATTACTCCTGTTGAAAGTATATTGATTATGCAAAATATCCAGTTTAGTTAAATCCGTTATAAGTGTCATTTTTGGTATTAGGCCAAAGTCCAACTTCAGTAAGAATATTTCTAAGATAGTATTTTTTAGAGGTAAAAGCAATATTGTTGTTAGCAAAATAATTGTTGCGTTTAATGTGCAGCAAAAGACCACTGTGGCAAGGTGGTATTAAAGAAAGGTTTGTTATTTTTTACCCATAAAAGCTTTCTTCTAGCGTCATATACCGATATAAGTCGCTTTTCGCGATATTTTCTACCTTTGCTCCTCTCATTATCGAACAAAATGTGTATTTTTGGATCACCTTTTGCGAGGAGAACGATTGGGATGTCTATTTCGCCTGTACAAGAATGCAAAATACAATTTGTTTCAGTGCCTACATTATTTTGCAATGCAAAATGGAGTAGGTAAGCTATTTTGGGTACCTTGTGGTGTGTTTTCAGTTCTAGGATATTCTCGACACTTTCAATACTAATCTTGATATTTTTTGATCCAAGCAAGATTAGTATTGAAAGTGTCAAGAATATCTTGGCCTACATGCTTTCAGTGGTAATGACTGTCTTTCCTTTTCAAAACAAATTTCTAACAATTTTTAAAGAGCTTGGACAGATATGTTTCTGATGACGTAATTGCTGGCTTAGAAAAAATTTGTTATACCATGTACGGCGAAAGGCGACTTACATCAGTAAAATAACAAACCTATCTTTATTACCATATTGCCTGAGTAGTCTTTTGCTGCACATAAAACGCAGAAAATATTTTGCAACAATATGGACATAGACTGAAAAACTAATAATCGAACAAGATGACCCTACGATACAAGGCTGGAATGAAGATTTACAATGTGAATGGGTATCTGAAGCATATTCAAAGGATATATGTGAGCTGTTGATTAGCAACCAAGAAGATATTTATCCCGCTCACATTATAAACTTTAATTTTAAATCTTCTGATGAAGACTCTAAGAATAAACTAATATCTAAACATGTCTCTGATTTACTATGTTTTTTGATTTACATTTCCAGATATAATTTAATATTTTGAATTACGAAATAGGTACTGAACGAAATGGCTAACGAGAAGCCACTTTTCAGGTCAAATTTGAATGTAGTGGTTTCCGTCCCCAAAAATACATTTCTTTCAAAAAGAGATTGTTAAAAGAAACGGGTTCATCTTGTACAAACTGACAGACAGGTGTGACGACACTATACAAATAAATTTCAATACTGGCTACAAAAAGATTTATTCTGTATGTACAAAAGTTTATTTCATTTTTTCTTTTTTTAGATTTTATTCTAACACACATAGATTCTAGCACTCGCATCATCTTAAAATATACAATTATTTTATAATTAAAATCATAGATAATACAACAAATACAAATGATATACACCATATCACTATAAAATAAGTTAAATACTAAACACCTAACTAAATACTTCATACATACATAATTACTTTAAAAACTTTTTCTTTTTTAGCGACTAAAGTTGCAATAGATTTACTGTAGTATCAATGGCTTGATTTGATAACATTTGACAAAATACTTCTGCAAAGGAAAACAGTAATTTTCTTGAGAATAAGAATTGAAATATATTGCAAGCAATAATCTGTATAAATATGACATTCAATAATAGAAATAATTGTACATAATGGTCACTGAGGATAATATTAATAAACTGGACATAATGGTATTATGAAATCTTTCTATGGTGTCATTAATAACAAGTAATAGTCAAACATGAGAACTAATATAACAACTGTCCAATCGGTAATACTTATATAAACTGATAAATATGTGGTGTCATAGACAAAAGTTCTACAGATTCCATAAAATGTTTGTTCTCAGTAATGTCGATATCAGATAAAGACAATTCAAACTAAAAATAACACGTTGAGTTTTAAAAATACTTTCTCTTTCACATCTAAGCAGTTCACACATTGACAGAAAAATTCAAAAAACCAAATACTAAACAAAACAAAAGTTATTACAAAAAATGCTATCTACATTTTTTTTTGATAACTTGTATACACTACACATATTATAAATATAAAGACAATTTTTCACTAAAACTATATCTACACAAAAACAATTAAATAAGTCAACATAGAGAGTCAGTAATAAAATGTCTATAATACATGTATTACAGTCCAATATTTAATAACATATATGTACTGCCAATGTCAGGAGTTTTTATGACGGAAACATTCAATGATTATTTTTTTTTCATTCTTAACTTTTAAAATGAAAACACATAAATGGTCAAAGTGGTTTAGTTTTACTTGTCTTCTCTATCTTCAACATTGCAAATTTAATTATTTTGTATTAATAGTGTAATAGTATTTAATTGAAAGGAATTAAATAGTCTGTTCTACAAATGTTTCTGAACTGTAAAATGTTTAATGAACTGTTCAAAGCCGATAAAATAATAAATATATTAACAGTTATTACTATTTGTTGCATCAATATAATATACATAGTGAAGGCAAATATTATCTGATTGTTTAAATGATAGAAGCTTAAGCTGAATAATCTATTTTTGTGTTTTGATATCCCCCTAGAAATACATCTAATAAATACAGATTGTATCAATTTATATGCTGTAATATTTCACTTTGAAGAAAATTATTAATTCTTAATATAAAAATCCATTATCATCCATATTCACACAAATTATTTAGAAATGAATATGGTATCTGAACTAATAACTCATAGTTGTACAATCCCAGAATGACAAACATTTTAATAAATAGTATAACTCTATAATATTAGAGTTCTTGGTTTCAGTGATAAAAGATAATGACGCGCTAATTCAGTCATATCTGTTTGATCTTTAGTTTTTCCACAAGCAACTCTCTCATAGTTATGTTCCAACTGAAAAATAATCAAAAACAAATATTTATTAAATACAAATATGTAGTATTAGAGCACCTTCACATTGAAATATAACCTTTTATAGGCCCATATTTACTTGTTGGGATGTCACGAAATCCTGTTGCTGATTTTATAAATATATCAGAATACTTTTATGTGCGTTTGCCAAGCAAGATACGCCCACATTTTGCAAGAGATAGAGAACAAGCTAAAAACAAAAGCGATTTTTCGTACAATCATGGGCTGTAATCCAAGAAGTTACAGTCTGATATGCCCAAATAGCGGAAGGAACTGAGATTTTTGGGACATAAACATATATTATAAGTTTCATCAAAATCTTGACAACAATTGTGACTTCTAGAGGGTCCACAACCTTGGTATCACATACTTTTACACTATTTGCGTACAAGGAGATGCCATTTGGTCAGGCAGTTTTGGTCTAATTTTCTCAAAATTGGAACTCAACCGTACTTAGGGTATAATGGAGATAAATTTAAACGTTTTTTAAAATTGGATAAAAATTGTGACCTCTAGAGGATCCACAAGCTAAAAACGTGATTTTTCGTACAATCAGGGGGCATAAATCAGGAAGTTACAGTCCAATAAGCACAAATATTAAAAGGAACCATGATCTTTGGATTATAAACATGCATTTCAAGTTTCATCAAAATCAGACAGATTATAATAACCAGTGGCTGCCAGACTGAATCCGCCCACATTTTCGAGAGATGGATAGAGGACAAGCTAAAAAGAAAGTGATTTTTCCTACAATCAAGGGCCTTAAATTCAGGAAATTACAATTCAATATCAAAAGGAACTCAGATCTTTGGGTTATAAACTTACATTTCAAGTTTCAATAAAATCAGATAAAAATTGTGACCACTATAGTGTCCACAAGCTTGATATACTGTATTTTTACGCTATTTGAGAACGAAGGGCGGCCATTTTGTCTGTCAGTTTTGGGCCGATTTTCACGAAATTCGAACTCAGCTGTCCTTAGGGTGTAACGGTGATATAATAATACGGTTTTTTTAAATCTGATAAAAATTATGACCTCTATAGGGTCTTCAAGCTAAAAACACGATTTTTCGTACAATCAGGGGCCATAATTCAGGGGCTATTTTTCAAGTTTCGTAAAAATCGGATAAGAATTGTGACCTGTAGAGTGTCCACAAACAAATTGTGGACAGACGGATGTCCGAACGGACAGGGGTGATGACAATATACGTCCACATGAAAATGTGGGCGTATAAAAATTATGACCTGTAGAGTGTCCACAAACAAATTGTGGACGGACGGACGGACAGGGGCGACTGCATAAACCTCAAAGAACTACATACTCTGATGAAAAACAAACAATTCTATTTCACTTACTTTTGTAAATTTTGGTGGTGTCTCACAGAAAGTTATCCTTTTACTTGATTTCTTGTCTTTATTCTATAAATGATAATTGAAATTTACAAACTTAACAATACGTAATGAATGAAATGAAATTGGGTTTATCGTCCTACTGTTCTGCTCTGAACTGGGCTAATGAAAATGGGCATATGCCATACAGTGGGCAATGAAGGAAATGTTGCCCGGACAGCGGCACTATGGCCTACTCTTACATCAAATTCCAACTATCAAGGGATCTTTTATGTGCACACTAATGTGTACAAAGGACCTTGGTTTTTCATCCCATCCGAACGACTAGACAGCTGTCCTTGTCAGGCCCTTTATCCTGCATCACTGACAGGGGCCACGCTGGAAAAAAATGGATGAACATTCACGGCCAATGCAGGGATCAAACACCCGACCTCCAGGCTAGTGAGCCAGTGTCTTACCCACTTAGGCACCGTGACCCCCCCCCCACCTCCTTTACAATATGTACCAATTCACTATAACATCAATCTCTATAAGTTATGACTGAACAATTTATAATACAAGAATTGTTGCACAAAAACAATTTCAAGCTTCATAAAACTAAAAGCATATTTTTGAAAGCAGATAAAACCAGCTGGATACGCCCACATTTTGCAAGAGATGGACAGAGAACAAGCTAAAAACAAAAACGATTTTATGTACAATCAGGGGTCATAATCCAGAAAGTTATGGTCTAAAAGGTGCAAATATTGAAACGGATTTTGGAATATAAAGAAATGTTTTAAGTTTTACAAAATCGGATAAAAATTGTGACCTCTACTCTAGAGGGTCCATAAACTTTGTCTTACATACTTAAATACACAATTTGTGTACAATGGGCGGCCATTTTGTCGGGCAGTTTCATTTTGATTTTCCCGAAATTCGAATTCAACCTTCATTATGGTGGAATGGTGATATATCTAAACAGTTTTTAAAATCAAATTGTGATCTCTTGACTCTCAGACTCCACAAGCTAAAAATACAATTTTTCGACCAATCAGGAGCAATAATCCAGGAAGTTACGTTAGGATATGTGTGATTATCAAAAGGAAACAAGATCTTTATGATAAATTATATATTTAAAGTTTCATCGAAATCAGATAAAAACTGTGGCCTCTAGAGGGTCAACAACCTTGATATACCATATTTTTACACTATTTGAGTACAAGGGGCGGCCATTATGTTCATCAGTTTTAGTACGATTGTCACGAAATTCGAACTCAACCATCATCAGTGTATAACTGTGATATATTCACACATTTTTTTTTTACATTGGATAAAAATTGTGACCTCTATAGGGACCATAAGCTCAAAACAATCAAGGGCCATAATTCAGGAAGATACAATTTGATATGCGCGAATATCGAACGAAACCAAGATCTTTGGGTTATATACATGCATTCAAGTTTCTTCAAAATCATTAGAGTGTAAGGGTGATATACTACTACGTTTTTATTAAATCGGATAAAAATTGTGATCTCTGATTTTTTCGTACAATCAGGGGCCATAATTCAAGAAGGTACAATCCAATATGCGGAATATCGAAAGAAACCAAGATCTTTGGAATATAAACGTGCATTCCAAGTTTCATCAAAATCGGATGAAAATTGTGACCTCTAGAGGGTCCATAACCTTGATATACCATATTTTACACTATTTATGTACAATGGGCAACCATTTTGTCCTGACGACAATATACGAGGGGAAGTCAATAAGTTCATAGAAGTGAGTATTGATACACCCCTGAAGACATCATCATTGATGTCATTATTGCCATCTGACGACAGTTTACAGACATAAACAACCCTTACTTGAGATTTACAGCCTGTTGAACACAGGTAACCTTCTGTAATCATGGAAAGTTCTAAAACTGAGCATCGTTAATGCGACCGAAATACATAAACGTATGACCAATGTGTATGGGAAGGATGCCCTTCAATATTCTGGTCAGCCGAGTTTAAGCGGGGTCACAGGGCTTAATCATGTCCGATCATAGAATAAAGGTGGACGAGATATCTTCAGAGTGTGGCATTTCTCATGGAAGTGTTTGCACCATAATTCCTGAGCACTTGCACATGTCTAAGGTGTCTGCAAGATGGGTCCCACGAAACTTAAATGCACAAGATCGACACCAGAGAGTTGAATCCAGTTGTGAGCTCTTGGAGAAAATCCATGAAGTTGAATAGGCGATCCTTCAATTTGGGAATAAAAACTACCCCACTTGACATAATGACAGACCTTAGATTTCCAAGAAAGGGAAGTGTGGGATAGCATAAAAATGACCTTTACATAGAAAACCCCACTTACTGTATTTAGTTTGGGTTGTGTAAAAATATCTTCTAGCACACCTTCTGGTAAAGTTTCTTTTATAATAGATGGTGGAGAAAATACTAAACTAGTATCTCCTACCAATGACTTGCTCTAAAGAATAAATACCATTACAACTGTTTTATATCCTTTAAACTTATTATTGTACAGAAAAGATAGTAGCATTATTACTTTAACTAAGACACATAACAGTGGCATTGTTAAATCAATTAAATATTTTAAATCGTCATAATATTAGTTAAACATACATTATGTAAGAGCTAAATCTGCCTATTGCAGGTCTTTCTTTAGGCCTGAAATGTTTTCTAAATTATTAATTAGACATTACAATTAACTTATCTGGTTGTTTTTTTTGTATTTTAGAGAAAAACCCTAAAAATCACCACTTAATGAACAAATTGAAAAAATCGCTCCCCTAAAAAAGCTCTCCCAGTTTTGATAAGAAGAGTGATTTATAGAAATTAAAGAAATGAAATGAAATGAAATGGGGTTTAACGTCCTACTGTTTTGCTCCGAACTGGGCTAATGAAGACGGGCATACGCCATACAGTGTGCTATGAGGGTAATTTTGCCCGGACAGCGGCACTACGGCCTACTCTTATATCGAATTCCAACTGTCAAGGGATCTTTAACGAGGACGCCAATGTGTACACAGGACCTTGGTTTTTCGTCTCATCCGAATGACTAGACAGCTGTCCTTGTCAGGCAGAAATTAAAGAGAGTGATCTGATATTAAAGAGAGTGATTAGTTTTATGTATATGGAAAATGGTTCTGAAGGTCAATAATTGCGTGCAAGGTGTCATTCCTGGTTACATATAAATGATAACAAACATCGTCTGCTACATAATAGTACTCGTAGTCGTATGGTCAAAAACTTTTGCTATCGTCTAAAACTACTTACGGTATTCCAATAGAAATACTTGTTGACATTTCTAAATATTTATAGCTAGTATAAATTTTGTTTAAAAACATAACCCATATTCAAAATATAATCATAAACGCTCGAAAATTCCATCAAAATATAATGTATTTCTTCCGGAATTATTCTCATTGGAAATTTTCATGTGTCATCTCTCGTAATTTCTCCCATCTCCCGCGTGTTCTACTTTACATTTCAGTTAAATAAACCAATGATGCATAGGTGCCATCTATTTTTAGCAACATATTCATCGGAATATTATTACCATGTGCGCTCACTTTATACAATAATCGAATACACCAAATAAATGTTCACAATGACAGCATGGCGGCAATCTGAACGTGAATCTTTCACACACTCTTTTTTTTTTTATTTATAAAAAATACATATGTCCATGATTTACAAATAAGGAGAGTGATTTTTCAATTTTAAGGCGAGAGAGAAAACCTCCCCTCGGTCGACATTCAGGTGCGTGGCAGGCGCTCGCGAGCCATAATCAACTCTTGATGGTATCGGATTTCTCGGATATTAAATAGATTAGAAAAGTTCAGCCATATTTTTATTTAAGCTAAAAGTGGAGGAGCGAGACTAAGCTTCGAACAACCAGTACGGTGGTTGAAATTATTGCACACGTCTTGTCAAACCTCCAAAGGCTAATATCTTTGCTCGCAATAGAGTAATTTGAATGAAATTTTCAAATTATTCATTTTACATTATCTATTTTGGAACTATTATAGCGAGAATGGCTAGCTCTTTATCTAAATCTTACATAATGTATCTTTAATAAAATAAAAGTACTTTTTAAAAGTTAAACATTATTCTGGCTTAGAAAAGCTTATGCAATTAAATCCCCACACATTTTCTATGTGATAAACAATTATAATCAGCTAATCACTATATTGACTATCTGAATATTAATAAATGTTGTATTTGGTTAAATCCATACAAAATACTTATCAATATTGTGTTACAGCTAATGATGAAAAGAAAGGTTACCGGTGTTTCTGGGGATAATAATGATACTTCTGGTTGCAATCTATTTATAGACTGACTTGTCCATTTCTGTTCTAATGACTGTCGGGCTCGTTTATTACTTGATTGCTGCAAGTAAAATCAAACAAATTAACAAAAGTTTACATTTAAAACCTCGAACAGTAATTTCCTTCAAATCTTGGGGTTTATATAAATGAAAGTATGAAAACACTTGTGAAGCAAGCAATTCGGTTGGCCAGTAGACTACAAGCGCACTAGTTAGAAATCAAACTTTTATGCACTGTATTCACATTTAGTAAATCTACATTTCGTTTTTAAATACTTTCTAACACAATCAAAATGACCGGAGGAAATGACCACTCATGCAAATTATTCTGTACTCACATTTTTATTTTTAAAGCGAGTATTCATCTACTTGCCATCAGTTTGCTCGTAGAAAGCCATGATTCATAAACACAAAGTGGACCGATATCTGATGTTAAGTTCCGATACTAATTCCAATAATACATTAATATTAGTAACAATATGTACATAATTTCTATTCCATTGCTATCACACGGTATCAAATTTGGGCAAAGTTCTTCTTAGTCAATATGAGAGAGAGAGAAATGGGGTTTAATGTCTACTCGACACAAGTAGGTCATTTCGGAACTAAAATTTTATTTCAATAATTCGCTTGCGCGTAGGTCTTTAGAAGTGGAAGGAAACCGAGAAAACACGAGGATAGACAGGCGATCCTCCTCCTTGTCACGTACAACCGGGAATCAAAACCATACCAGCTGACTCAATGACAGACCTTATGATACAACGCGCAAGCGCAAACCATTCGGCCACCCAACCCTCCATTAAAATGACAAGTCCAGTGAGAATATAATAATTGGTAGAATATATTCATCAATACAAATATAGTAATAATACTAATAACAGGGCTTGCCACTCGCGCGCACGCTACGCTCGCGTAAAACCAAATTTACGTGAGTGATTAAGTACTCGCGCAAATATAAAAAATAATTTAATCAGAAATAATTGAATATCGTAATATAAAAAGCCGTAAACAATTTGTATGCCTTCATATCGATGCACTATTGCGCACGCGGCGTGTCTTTCCAGTGCCAACTGTTGTTACTAAAAATACTTTGAGACGCGTACTGCCAGGCGGTTTTTAAGCGGATGTCCTTTGCCGTGTCTGGATAATCAAACATTGAGCGGATGTTGTCGTTTCTCTTGCAACGTTCTTGTCATGGGAAGAAAATTTACAGATATTTTTTTTTTTTGCCAAGGAAATAAAAGAGTATGCATTGTCATTGTGTGTGAAATAGCTTTATTCAACGTCTGCTTCCAACGAAGTGACAAGAGCATTGCCATTAGGCACATGAAATTAAAATGGCTACTCACGCACATCATTCTGCGTGAGTAAATACATGTACTCGCCTCACTCGCGCAAGTCTATATTTGCGTGAGTAGTCATCTACTCGCCTCCAATTTGCTCGTGGCAAGCCCTGAATAAGACGCTTCTTTGTTTGAATCCCTGTGAGAAAACCCACAAGGTTGGACAGGCGAGCCTACTCCTGGTCACGTACAACCAGGGAATCGAAACAACACCAGTTGACTCAATGACAGACCTTATGATACAGCGCGCAAATGCTAACCATTCGGCCATCCACCCCCACCTAATATGAAAAACATTACAAGAAACACAACTTACTATCTTGATGACTTTTCTTTTAGAAGATTTACCAGATATAGGTGTTATAACAGACATATCAGCTTCATACCCTGTATCACATTCACTCTTTATAACTTCTCCTATATCTTCTAATTGATTTGGACTCTACAAAATATACCTAGTAATGTACAGCTGGCAATTTGACAATTATATATCATATCAGTAAGCAGCCATCAAGAAAACAGTGAAAGTGACGCTGATATATAAATACATGAGACAACTAAAATGTCAGTGAATATACTAGTGTTGTCAACAGTGATGGGATTTCAAAATTGTCCTTGTCGGACATTTTTACCGAAAATATGGGGACATGATTCTTATCGTTATTTAAGCAGGCAGTTTTTAGACCACATACAAAAATCACGTATCAACAAAATATTCAAATACGTACGTAATAAAAAATAGGTTGCCAGGCAACAAAACAATGTGGGCATATAAAAATAGGTGCACCTCGTTATTTTTCGTACGGTATTCAAATTTATGTCAGTAATATTCCTACAAAATTACGTGATGTCGTAATACGACAGAATGAAATAGTGCTGACTATTGCTGATCCGTACAGTTTCAAATTCCTCCAAGATTTCGGGTCATAAGTCAATACATTTTCAGCAGAAGTCCGGCATTCGTCTTATACTCCGTTTCAACTTATATATGGAGGGTAAGGATGTAACGAGTCAAAAAAAATTGAACCGGTTAACCGATGGGCAAAAAACCGACCGTGACCAGTCAACCGATTCACTTTTTATTTTTAGTTGCGGAGTTATTAATCGCCGGTACTGTACGCAGGATTAAAGTTTACTTTTTAACACTGTTTAACTTGAATATAAACTATTAGACCCCAAGTCCTAAGAAGAGTTTATTTATTGCAGCTTATTTTGTTTTTCATTCAAATTTCTCGGAAGGAAACATTGCGTCGTCTAACAGTCAAAAAGGTCATGGTCTCACGTGGTCGTCACTCGCCGGGTACCAGCACATGCCGTTGTGTGACAGATCAGAAAATTAGTGTTTGACCCGTTATAATTATAGGAATATTCTATGGCCCCCACCTACCTCCATCTCAATGTGCAATGTTGTAATGTAATCCATTAATAAAATATTTAATTCGGCGTCTTTATTCACGCGCACAGCATTACTTTCATTTTCATACGCATTTAATAGTCAACCTGTAGTCAAGATTACCCAGCCCGAAGATACAACGCAATAAGTCGCTCTTTTCTGGAGAGTCTTAGATCACGGTCAAAACATTATTATAACTGTAGGCTTATAGTCCATGCCATTTTCTTAAATTTATATTTATAAATATTGCCGTATTAAAAGCTAATACTATAAAATTCGTATGTTTACCACACGTGACTGAACATGTGACCCCATCGAGCCAATGAAACAAAGAAAAGATTATACCATTTGGCCACGTGCCAGAGAGACGAAAGATACTTTGTTTACGGCATAATTTTTCTTACTACGTTTTCGAGCAGCGAATACGACCGTTTTATTACCGGGAAAGTTTTGTATCAACGTGTAATATGAACATGAGAGCCTGGGCTAATACTAGTAGTTTACTACTAGTTCGATATACACTGACATTTTTATATAGAACGAATAACGGTCACGGGAATATTGAACCGGTCAGGTTGCAGAACCGAACCGTAACCGGTCAACCGAGTAACCGTTTACATCCTTAATGGAGGGTAAAAAAATGACATCCCGAGCGAATGACACCATCTGCTAAATAATTGCATTCGACTCTAGCATGCGTTACCGTCTAAAACAATTAAGTACTTACACTATTCCAATCTTTTTTTTTATAAGCAATATTCTTATTCAGATTTGTATCTGAATAGGGACTGGGGAACAGGCATAGTCTATATTCGTCAACATTGCCTAGCGTATTTATTTCTTTACTTAAAAACATAAACCCCATTCAAAATATGATCATAAATCTGAGAATATGCTATCAAAATAGAATCTTTTCTTCAACATTAGACAAGTGAAATTTGTCAAGCATTCATTTTATAGTTTTACGCGTCTCGCGAGATTTCTACTTCCGTTCAGTTATCGTACTATAACCAAATGGTTTGCCGGGTGCTATAACTGCGTGTGATCAGAGTTAGCAATGTCTAGTATTTTTCGGATATATGTGTGAAATAGCTTTATTTAACGCTCGCTTCTACTGAAGTGATATCGCAGATGAATTATTGGATACATATTGATTTGGGGTGTTACGTACTATTAGGATATGTAACATATGACTAATTTCTATGTGCTGTCGGCCAACATCAAGGAGATTAAAACATCCGACAATGACAATGGGGAAATCATGGGTCAATCACATAGATTTTTAAGTTTATAATCACTCTTATTTGATTGATACATATCCCGACAAAGGATTGGATTAATGAATTGTCTGATAAAGGATTAAGGCAGATTAACTAGTTAATCAAGGTAGGTGTATAGGCGGTATAACACAATAAATACGTTGATCACTTAATTACCTAATCAATCCAGTTTATTATCAACGATAATCGGGTTGAGTGGTAGTTATACACTCAGTAAACTATATTAATTTTGAAAATTTGAATATTATTCACATGTCTTGATGTACGATGGGGCATATTCCCAGTCGGACAAATTTGGGCGTTTGGAAAATAGCGCCCGACAAGTCCAGAATATACGGGCGGGCGAAATCCCATCCCTGGTTGTCAATCAGATGTGATTATACAAATTAATATCAACTATGTAGATTTCAGTTTAATTATTCTATTTTAAGTTTAAATGAAATGAAATGGGGTTTAACGTCCTACTGTTCTATTCCGAACTGGGCTAATGAAGACGGGCATACGCCATACAGTGTGCTGTGAAGGAAATTTTGCCTGGCCAGCGGCCTACTCTTATATCGAATTCCAACTGTCAAGGGATCTTTTCGTGCACGCCAATGTGTACACGGGACCTCGTTTTTTTGTCCCATCCAAACGACTAGAAAGCTGTGCTTTTCAGGCCCTCTGTCCTGCATCACTGACAAGGGGGAACCATGCTGAAAAATATGGATGAACTTTCTAAGTTTAAAGACAACCATTGAACTAGATGTAACATACCCATTTATTGATTCGTCCAGCTCTTTTCTGTATCTCAGCCATTGCATTTTTGAATGGCGTTGGTGTTCTAGGTGACATTTCTAACATAGATCTCTGTACAACTGGTGTATGTAACTTACTATTACTGTAATATAAAGTCATACATACTAATACGTTAAGTCAATTGGAAGTTAACAATTATACCTATTAACTCTCAGTGTCACTGAAGAACAACAAGGGGTGTTTTATGACTTAACATGAACAAAATTTTCATACATCTATTAAATTTGGGCTTATTTTTTATCAATCACAATCTATTTTATTCTGAAGACAGGGGTGATTGCAATTCATGGTCACATTTCACTACAAGGAGGATTATTGCACATTTAAAATGAAATGTACATGTATTGTAGAAAACTTACCTTAAATCAAATTTAACAGTTGTATATAATGTATCTATACCAGAACTAGATGACTGACTACGACTACATACCGGTGTAGATGTTGCTTTACCAGAAAACGGTAAACACATATCAGGGCTATTCAAAAACTGAAATATACAATACAATTATTACTTTCATTGTTAGTTTTAAGGTATCTTCGTCATAGTTTCTGGAGGTTGTTTTCCATCAAATCAACTTTTATATTCAAGTTTTTGTCATTTAAACTAAGGCCCAACGTAGCTTCAAGCAACCCTTTAACGAAACATTTTTCAGTGTTTGGCTCAGGTTCTACAAAATTAAGCATTTGTCCACTTCTCATAGCAGATTAACTATCACTGTAACCCTGGGTATCGTTTAATCTTGTGTATCTAGCACTAATTTCTTTCACATTCGTTTAATAACAACTTTGTTTAAAAATTCATAAAAACGTTTAAAATCACCAAAAATCATCTAATTTGTACATGTGTCCAGTTTAAAGCTGACTGATTAATTTTGATAATGAGTGTCCAATTTACAAGTATTTAATTTCCTGATCACTGTTCAAAAATTAATTATTATACATCATTTATCAATTGGGTTGTTTATTTTTTAACAATGATTGAGAAATTAAACACTTGTAAATTGGACACTCATTATCAAAATTGAATGGTCAGCTTTAAACTGGACAGAAGTACAAATTAAACGATTTATGGTGATTTTAAACAGTTTTTACAAATTTTTAAACAAAGATTGGATATTAAACGAATGTGAAAGAAATTAGTGCTAGATACACAAGATTAAACGATACCTGGGTTACAGTGTATACTGTACAATGAACATCGGGGCTTTTGACAGGTATAGTGTTAGAATTTTGTAATGTTTTAATTAATTTTACCTGAGATGGCGAGAAAGGTAGATTTTTTATTGGTGTTGTTGTAGGGGTTAAAGTTCCCAACATAGTTGACATATGACCTTCATTTTCAATATTCTCTACAACTTTTTCTACAACATTGGATGATTTGATGCTTTCACTTTTACCAGGTTTCTAAAATAATAGAAAATAGAACATAAACATGTAGAAATATCATACCTGGCTGACAATAACTTTACATGACATTCTTAAGTTATATTGGCACAGAAGGGTTTCAATAGAATGCTGACATTTTTAATCTGTCCTGCTCCTATCGGGCCTTGAGATGTGATGGGTGCGGTCGTGCTGCACCTGTAGTGTGACCGCAAATTAAAACTAGTGAACATGAATTACCACGCCAGCAAATTATTCAATTTTATTAACATCAATCTTCAGGCTCAAAATAGTAGGTGAAATCATCCCCAAAACCATGTATGATTTCACTCCACAAAGCCCAGGTCAATTTTCAATGTCACCATCACATCGTTCATTCATTCAGGTGCAACGTTATCCTCGAGACATGGAATTATCAATTTAATGAGTGATTCCTGAAGAAACACATGCTAGACTGGAAGGGAAATGCGAAATTTAGAAATAAAGAATAGCTAGATGCGCATTTCTACATTTTTATTTGAGAATTTTGCCAAAACTATATAAAGATAGGTTGCCAGGCAACGAAACATACGACCACAGCAGCTAAATCGTCCGGGGAGTCAACAAGTGTTGTCGCATATTTTTACTTTTTTCGGTAATGAAACATTTATAATACACTAAAATCTGATTAAGAGTAACAACTCATTAAGTAATTATCAGAAAACTATTAGAATTTGTTTGGTTTTTATAAAGTTGCCCCATGCTAACGTTTAGTATCAAAACTTTAAATATCATGGATTTAGCTGTTCAAGTCATAAAGATTCACTGAAAATCAATATACGAGTTTGTCTCAAGATCTTAAACTTTGTGTATCAATCAGAAGTCAATCAGATGATAACTTTAGCCTCTAGAGTGTCACAAGATTTTTCAAAGTGATCAAGGGCCATAACTTTGGCAGTAATTATCGGAAATCGTTGAAAATCAATAGGATTCTTCGTCTCATGACCTCAAACACTGTCTTTAAATTTAAAGTCAATCGGATATTAACTTGAGCCTCTAGAGCATTCACAAGATTTTTTAAAGTGATCAAGGGCCACAACTCTGGCAGTAAATATAAAAAATCACTGAAAATGAATAGACTTCTTCGTCCCATGACCTTAAACACTGTGTATAAATTTGAAGTCAACTGGATATTAACTTTAGCCTCTAGAGCAACCACAAGATTTTTTGAAATAATTATCGTAAATTGCTGAAAATCAATAGGCTTCTTCGTCTCATGACCTTAAACTTAAACTCTGTGTATAAATTTAAAGTCAATCGGATATTAACTTTTACCTCTAGAGCGTCCACAAGATTTTTTTAAGTGATCAAGGGCCATAACTCTGACAGTAATTATCGAAAATCACTGAAAGTCAATAGGCTTCTTCGTCTCATGACCTTAAACACTGTGTATTAATTTAAAGTCAATTGGATATTAACTTTAGCCTCTAGAGCGTCCACGGACGACGACAATATACATGTACGACCACATTTCTCGAAATTCGAATTCAACCCATCAAGGCATTGATAAACACCTACACCAAGTTTGAACATTCTAGCTCAATTAGAAAGACTTATTGTGTCCAAAAAGTGTGACGTACAGACGGACGTACCCAAGTGACTAGATCGAGTTTGTCCCAACGTTTTACTTCTAAAGCAAAACAAATTTGTGGTGCTGTCAAAATGACCGTCTTGTCTGTTGAAATGTAATTGGATATACACATGTATGATATCTAAAGAAAAGGTATTCTTTTTCATGCTTTTAATTTATGAACATTTAGCCTATAAACGGTGTTTATAATTTATACATCTTTGGCTTTGAATTTAATGTAAACTAGTTATAAAAAGCATTGCCACAGAAAGAAATTTGGCAGTTTTAAATAGCTCCCGCAAAATATGTGGCAAACACATTTTACCACTACAGCGTGATTTTCAGATCTTAAGGCCTGTCCTATATATACCCCAGTTCCATTTCTGTGCAGTTTTAAAATTATTATCAAAGTACGGTAATATTAATCAAAGCCAACAGATAGATTCCAAAATACAATAAAGAAACATGAAAACAAGGGATTATCAATAAAAACAAACCCTACCTTTCGATGTTTACTTTTTCGTAGTATAGCAGGAGGTGATTTAAGCTTAGAGGCTGCTGGTGATAAAATAGGTATTAAAGTTCCTGGACTCTTCAATTTACCAACAGCATGACCATCAAACCGGATCCCTAAGAAAAAAAGAAACTAAAAATGAATCTAATCCAATTCTTTTATAATGCAAAGATATAAATTGTTAACAGACAAGACGGCAGGTTGCCAGGCAACAACAAACAGCCACTGACACTAAATCTACAAAGTTTTTTATTTATTTATTCTTTTGTAGGTAATGGGAGCATTCAAAGACACTAGAAGCCAACAGTGATATATCAAATTTATTTTTCTCTATTAATAAAAGATTTGTACCTGTTGTTCCTTTCTCATTTAATCTAGTAAATTTAATAGGTGTAACTCCTGTTCTAGATTGAGTACCACCTATCAGATCTAATGATGATAAACCACCAAATCCAGTATCTTTGATACCATCACTAACTCCAAGTGGTACAAATGATCTGTCAAAAAAATTTTCGGTTGATTATATATAAGGGACTTTTTATATATAACAATACTATATCTACATTAATCTATACATTCACCTTATGAATAACTTCGTCATGTTTGAACATTCTACCTCAATTAGAGGCTGGAGCTGGGCGACATTTTGTTTTTTTCGATCTAAAACCGTCACAGAAATAAAAACTGTCAAATATACTGTCTTTTTAGAAAAAAATCGAAAAACCAAACATAAATCCAGAAAAAATGACTTCCTTTCTATGTTTTTTACGATATTTTATTGTTTGGTGATGAACAAATACCGTTATAATCTCCCGACTATTCATTCCATGAAGTTTGGAAACACCGTTAAAGAACCTTGTTTTCGTCACGTGACTTCTCACTCACTTTTCCACCCGACAATACGATTTATCCCGGCATCTGTTCAAATTCTATGCATCTGGACGAATTGGAACAAATTTTATTAAAGCAGAAATATAAATAATGCAAACTACATAGAGAGCACAGGTAGACTGATTATCATTCAGTGCTGGAAGTTCTATGAAGGTCTGTGTTCCGAAAAACGTGATCACAATATTTTCTGAGAATATTGTGTTATCTGTTTCCAGGGATATCGCCCAGCTCTATTAGAGGCAAAGTTAATGTGTTCCCAAAAGGGTCTACAGACGGATGAACTCAATAGTCCTCTGCTTTCATGGCAAGGCAACAAACAATGACAAATTCAGATTCAGTTGAATATCAGCTGGTTAGCAATCCTGAGCCAAATATAAAGAGTTAAACATGTCACAAATTACACAAATGGAAACTTACTTTAACGGTGTACAGTGTTCATCATGATCCCTTATATTTACCACATTTGGATTTTGTGTTTCACAATTATCTTAAATACAATACTAAATAGTTAATAAACTTGTAGAGCTGTGTGAGAGAGACAATATAAAATAAACATATGATGTATAAGTAATACAGTTGTCAAAAGTTACAATTATGCTAACCAATCACAGAATGTAACATTAACTTGAAAAATGTTCATGGATGTAAAAAGCCTTGGACATTAGGTGAAAAATAACATATGATTTTCACTAGTTCTGGGCTAGTGCGAACAACTTTAAAATAAGATAGGTTGCCAGGCAACAAAACATACGCCCACAGCAGCTAAGTCGTCCGAGCAGTCAACAAGAGTTGTCGCATATTTTTTCTACTGTCGGTAATGAAACATTTATAATACACTAAAATCTGATTAAGAGAAACAACTCATTAAAGTAATTATTTGAAAATCATTAGAAATTGTTTGGCTTTTAGGTCTGCCCCAGGCAACGAAACATACGCCCACAGCAGCTAAGTCGTCCGAGTAGTCAACAAGAGTTCTCATATTTTTTTCTACTGTCGGTAATGAAACATTTATAATACACTAAACTCTGATTAAGAGAAACAACTCATTAAGTAATTATTTGAAAATCATTAGAAATTGTTTGGCTTTTAGTTCTGCCCCATGCTAACGTTTAGTATATGAAGCATTTAATATCATGGATTTAGCTGTTCAAGTCATCAAAATTCTTTGAAAATCAATACACTTGTTCGTCTCAAGACCTTAAACTCTATGTACAGGGCTAGAAATTCGCCATTTTTTGCGAGAATCGAAGAGGATTCTCATATATGGAATCTGCGCGAATCCTCCGAATTTTAATTAATAATACTGTCTAAAAAACAAAATTGTGTTTATTGTGATAATCTAAAACACCAAAATACAACAACGATAAAAAAAACAATCAGATGGAGTTTTTGGTAAACACTTAAATTGTGCCAAAAGTAATATCCAGAAAATGCCGTAGTCAAAATAAGCTGATACAGCACCATGGCATTTCTTCATAGCACAATTTGTAGTCTTTTGTCCATCACGCAACTAGTCACGTAACTTGCAAAAGCTTTTATTCATTCGTCGATGATAGACAAACCGCACAATGATCATGTGACAACCATAACTGAAATTGCTATAAAATAAACTTCGGTAGGCCCTACGACTATGATATAGCCTTCAATAATATTTCTAAAATTAAGTCTCTGTCACCATGTATATACAATAAAAAATCATAACGGTAAACGCTATTTAGAACTGGTTTATTCCAACCAATATGTCACTGTCATTGGAATTCGGCATTCCAGATTATGTTGGGAAAATATCTATGCTGTTTCTCTCTCCGTGTATTCGGTGTTCTATCAGGGGATTATATTCAATGAAGATTTAAATTTACCTAACAGCTGGTCAGTGAATCCATCAATGTATGATCCAGTTATTATTTTAATACCTGGAATTCACACGGCGGAGCGTGGAAGATGCGCGATTCGCAAACCATGCCGAGATGAATTAGTTTTGTTTTTTTACCGGATTATCAAAATCGCCGTTAAATGTGCTAATTACTCGGATTATGAACCACATATGGCTGATTCGCACTAAGGTATGACTGTTGTCGTAGCCGACACATTCTTTATTAACAAGTAATATAATTAACGCGCTGTAATATTAGCCACAAGTAGATTGATTTATGATACCATGTGGCCGATTCATTGTGTTACTAATTGGCTAGATTAAACATCAATCAGCTAAATCCCACAAAATACAGTCGATTAAGAAAACTAACCCTGACTGACATTCAACAGTTGGACTCGATTGACAATTCTTCCGAGATTTTTTTTTTTTTTTTTTTTTTTTTTTTTTGAGAAAAATTTTACGCGAATCCTTTTAGATTTGCAGCGTAAGCTCTTGCGAGAATCCTTGCGCGAATCAAGATTCGGAGATTCGCATGAATTTCTAGCCCTGATGTATCAATCTAAAGTCAATAACTTCGGCAGTAATTATTGGAAATCGTTGAAAATGAATAGGATTATTCGTCTCGTGACATCAAACACAACATATAAATTCAAAGTCAATCAGATATTAACTTTAGCTTCTAGAGTGTCCACAAGGTTTTTTTCAAAGTGATCAAGGGATATAACTCTGGCAGTAATTATCAGAAATTGTTGAAAATCAATAGGCTTCTTTGTCTCATGACCTTAAACACTGTGTATAAATTTTGCTGGCAATTTAAATTGAGGTCTGTGATATCAATCTAACCGCAGAGAATATTTCTCGGGAAAAGTAAGGCATTTTGATGGTAAAAAAAGACAGATGACTGTAAAATTGTCACCATGTTTGTGAATGATAAATTAACACTTAACAGTCGATTATCCAGTGCCGTTCGTGATTGTCGATAGTATTCCCCATGGTTACGTATTTGATAGCAGAATGTAACAAGTCTTAATCTCCTGTTGTCAAGAAACATTCAATAGAGTTACTTCCTTTGATCGCCAAATATGAACGAGCGGAAACTATTGACTCACACAGACCATTTTAATGACACAGCGGTATCAGAGAACCAGAATATTTTTTGTCTGGCCTAAGACTGCATAACAGTTGCCCATTCAGAAATATCTTCACTGATTCAACAAAGCTTTCATGTTTCTACAGACTCTACTTAGGCTACATAAAGAGCCTCTTTTTCATTACCAGCACTTTAAAATTAAAATATAAACCTTAAAAAAAACCCCCAAAAAAACCAGGGCCCGGTTCCTAGAAAATTCTTAAAGTAAGCACAAAGTCATGCTTCACCTTTTCTTACGTAAGAAACTTATAAAAATACCGTCCCTTGAAAATTCTCAAGACCATTCTTACGTAAGCACAAGTCAAGTATAAGTCTAAGCACATTGTGACTGGTAAAGTTTACCATAAACTGAGACTACGATACTCTTTAACGTCACAAAAACAACTTTGGTATGCGAATCACGTCATTAATTTGTCGTCTGCTTCATTGACGTCATACGGTTGATTTAGATGCATTTGGCATGTCCCCTGTAGGCCTACACATATAAAATATGCCACAAGATAAAAATAACGCAGACTCATATAAACTAACTGAATAATTGCGAGAGCGCCTGATCTTAAGTAGCCCGTGTGTTTGTAGCCTATTGTTTACTAACTGGCAAATAAATAAAATGGTTTCAGGGTAGAAGCGAAATTTTCTATAGTACCAGTATTCTTAATTTCTCCTGGAGATGGATTTTCTCTGTCTTGTAATTGTCTCTTTGGTATTAAAAGGTGTCGGAAATGCCGTTGAATAACTCTACGGTCAGCCATCTTTTTGAAGTGGAAACAGACTTAAGTTGGTAAGCAAGCCACATACCTTGCTTGGGACTTGTGCTTAGATTGACTATGTTTAAGAACGAAGTTGTGCTTAAGTTTTTTCTTGGAACGCATAATAACGTTCTTGTGCTTACAATGAAGTCTACTTAAAATCTAAGCACATGAACGTTCTTAAGAATTTTCTGGGAACACAAAATAAGGTAAGTTTACTTAAATGCAAAGTCTACTTATATCTAAGCACAAGAACGCGCTTAAGAATTTTCTAGGAATCGGGCCCAGGTGGCAGAATCCATCATGCAGTCCTGTATATAACCTTAAATGACAAAGATGGTGGAATTCGTCCTGTATTATATAACCTTAATAGAAAGACTTACTACTATCAGCAGCATTAGGAAAGAGTTGTATTGGAACTATTCCCTGTATAATATTACTGGTTGAACTAGGTGTATAGGGATGGGTATAAACAGGGGGATTGTTATGCACTTTCTCTCTTGCTTCCTCTAATTCACACTTTCTTTTCATCGTAGAATTCCAATGATTTTTAATAGCGTTATCTGTCCTGCCTGGTAGATATTTAGCTATTTCTGCCCACCTGTTACCAAATGTTTTGTGTAGATGATATATTAAATTATCTTCTTGTTCTGTCCAAGCAGTCTTCTTTATGTCAGGATTCAAATGATTGTGCCACCTGAAAAATACAGAATTTTCTTTCTATAATTTATAATATAACACATCCATAATATCCACTTCAATCAGTTACAGGGTAACAATTCTGATCTATTTTTGGTCAAATCCGGAAAGAAATTGTGGCTAAGTAGGGACTATAATGCTGGTATTTTGCAGGGTTTTTCACACTAGAAAATCTCTAGTGTTTTTTAACAAAATTCTTCAATTTATTGAAGGTCATACTAAACAAAATATGACACCCGGGTAAAAAATTAACATATTTAAGTTAAAGTAAATTGTCTTTAATTTCATGTGTCATTTCATTCTCTGGCATGAACTAGATCTTTGAAAAGACAATAAGTCAATAATTACCTTTCTCTACACTGTTTTCCTGTTCGTCCTCGTAAATGTTTAGATATCAATGTCCAACGTTTAGGTCCGTATGTAATAACCAGTTCTACAACTTTATCATCTTCCTATTAAAAAAATATCAACATCAATTAGTACTATACTATGCATATTAAGCATTTACATAAAATTCAATATTACTAATAACTATTGTGGCCTTGGTAGTTAGTAGTATTCTTAAAGTTCACATGACTCTTGACAAAAATGTTTTGGTCTTAAATCTTGTCTTGGGTGCTACTGTCCAAGTAAAACACGACTTTGTTACATTAGTAGGGTGCCCTGTGCAGCAACAATTTTCCCTACAGAAAGTTGAGCTCAACACGGCAAATGTGCACGCTTCAGTGGCTTGTCTTGAAGTGGTTTCTGGCTAATCACACAGTGGAATAACACTCAGCGCTAGAGTCTATAAATAGCCATCACATGTGAAATTCTCTATACATTTATCAACTATTAGAGCCATAAAAAATCTATTGGTTATTTGGTTATTATAGCAGCTTTAGATATTACGTTTGTTTTATTTTTTAAATTGCTTTCTATACCATTAGGAGCAGTATCTTTTGGTTTAGTGAAAGAGAGAGAGAGAGAAAAATGGGGTTTAACGTCCACTCTACACAAACTAGGTCATTTTGGGACTAACATATGGTTTTAATTTTATTTCAATTGCTTGCGCGTAGGGGTCTTTAGCAGTGGGAGGAAACCAGAGAACCCGGAGAAAACCCACGAGTTTGGCGTGCGACCCTACTCCTCGTCACGTACAACCGGGGATTCGAAACCATGCCAGTTGACTCAATGACAGGCCTTATGATACAGCTCACGTGTGCTAACCATTCGGCCATCCAACCCCCCCCCCCCCCAATCCCCTTTTGGTTTAGTACAAATAATATCTCTGAAACACTCGGGTTAGGCAGTAGTTTCATTTTATTTTACAAGGTTCTTAAAACAATTGTTGAGTTGTCTAACGTGCATATTTCTAAATTCAATTTTTTGTTCTAGCTCTCTGTTATGTTTATCATAAAAAAAAAATAGTCTTGATTATCCCAGCCCGTCAATCAAGACGTGGAATGGTCGGTAGGGTAGACTGGTTAAGCGAGACTAATTTGGAAACAAGGGCATGTAACCTATTTTTTTTTACTCAAAAGTGCCCAGATGTTATGGCCGAGACTCGTAACCATTTTTCAGTCTATTATTTATGGATGGATAAATGGTCATACCTTATTAAGTACAACATGACCATTTATTCAGTGACTATAAATGTGCAAAACTGATTTAAGGCTTGGTATATAAATATTGTGGTGTAATTGTCGAAATATTTGGAGATATTTATTTATGGTGGGTTAACTAACATTAGAAGTAAAGTTTATTAAATATGCACAGGTAGTGTTGATGTTCCATCTTCAGGTGAATGTTTGTGGTATTGTATAACGAGGGATGGTATATTTCAAGGTTTTATCACAATCTTTGCAATAAAAGAGTGTACTGGAACAACAGGAAGACAAAATATCACTGACGGGAGGACAGGGAATAAAAGTGATCTTTACATTATAACATATTATCTACCACCGTACCTCTTTGGTCCAAGGACCTTTGATCAAGTCTGGATTTAAGGCTTTCAACCAACGATGCTGGCACTGTATGTCAGAACGATCTGTAAATAGACCTGCAACGTGTCTCCAGTCAACAGAATCAGGATATGTCTCAACAATTCCTTTTAATTTATCATCCTAAAAACAAATGTTAAATTATAATTAGTATAAACATCAGTAAAGGTGTTAAGAAGAATGATTATTAACAAGATTACTCAATAGATTAAGGAGATTACAATTAATTGTTAACCCTAATAGAAGAATTCAAGATGACGAATATCAGTTCGGCTTACAGCAAATAAACCAATTTCTGCATTTGTACTGAGACATTTGATTTTTAATAATACTCAAGAGTCAAATGCAATTTTACATTAATTCAAACTATTTCCTCTCATACCAAGCGAACATTTGACGCAATTATAAAAGAACTCTTCTTCCTAATTAATCATTTGTTTTAACTATTTCATCATTGTTTAATATAATAAAAGTCAAATAAAAATTTTCACACAGAAACAACTGATACTGGTAGAAGTTGGCAGATTATATTAATCAGACAGAAATTTAAATACATGATAAATAATCTACCTCTTCCTTTGTCCAACGCCCACGGTTATAATGTTTTTTAAATTTTATTTGAGATAAATTATAATCATGGTCAATTTGTCTTCCATCATCCGATTCATCGTCGCTACAAGATGACTGACTACATGTACTATCCACTCTGAAAAATAATAATTAAGCATAAGCTTGTGTAAACACAAATTATTAAGTACTTAACTAGGTTTCTAGACTACCTTAGCCACAGATCTAGGCCTACTGAATACATGTTTATGTGTTTTAATGCATTTGATATGAATTAGAGTTAAGACAGTAAGTTAAACAACCACTTATATAGGCGGTAGTACAATTTACTCAAAATCCACCATAATGAACAATAATTTATATCGATCATTAATAATTTACTGTTCTTTATGGGTGGTTTAGGGTAAATCGTGCTCAATGCAAACTGCAAGCAGTGGCCTAGCCTATCATAATTTTGTTTAAACCCAGTAGGCTACATTTCAGTTTCAATGAAACTTTCATTAAAATCATGTAAAAACTTCTCGTTAGTCTACAAAAATATGGAACGAATTGCTGAGTGGCAGAGTGACTTTACCGGTATAAGGCATTTGTAGATAATTATGTATGACTTAAGCTATCTACTAGGCCTAGCTAGGGAATGAAAAATAAAATGAATTGGGGTTGAACATCCTACTGAGCTAATGAAGATGGGCATGAGGGAAATTTTGCTCAGACAGTGGCACTACAGCCTACTCTTATATTGAATTCCAACTGCCAAGGGATCTTTTACATGTACCTTAGTTTTTCATACCATCCGAATGACTAGACAGCTGCCTTTGTCAGACCCGCTGTCCTGCATGACTAACAAGAGGAAACCACATCGGAAAATCCTGTGAACTTTCTCGGGCAACATTAGGAGCGAACCTGAGATCTCCAGGCTGGCAAGCCTGTCGAGCCAGCGCCTTACTCACTTAGCCACCATGGCTCCCAGGCCCAGGTAGGACTATCAAATGAAATTTCACTATCAAACCTCCCTCTCGGACCCTTTTTATTCATTGTGATTTGTCTATGGTAAGGTACTAAATAATATAGAGCAAAGCTCCTTTCCGGTAACACAGGAGCGTAACTGAAACTGTCACAGACTGTTGGTTAAACAAAGTTTAGACCGGAATTGGATCCACTACCGGACTGGATAATCTGCTCTAAATGACGTCAGACTGGTTCCTATGTCACTACGCTATTCTGATTTCAATATAGAGACAGGTAGCAGCCAGCTATCTTGCCAGGAGGAATTCCTCCCAGCAGTGCGCATCTCTTTCTGCGCACATTACCAATGTAAACAAAAACGTGATCGGATGCTGAAGTATGCAATAAAGATGTCAACACCAATTAAATATGCAACAGCGTGGATTAGAATTAGAATTAGAGCCGAAACTATGCAATTTTTTTCTCAATAACGGAATTTAACTTTAAATTAACGGTACAATAATTTGAAATTTGAGAAATATGGCAATAAAATCAAAATTGAGCGATTTACCATAGCTGGTAGGCCTGCAATTGTATCTGATTATAATAAGAGCTGATTTTAAACTGTCGCTTTGTTTGGGTTTAAGAGGTCGCACAATCAACGTCTAATTTGGCTAGAGCAATCTTAGTCTTAGACATTAAAGAAAAGCTTAACAAATCATCGAGCTTACTGGGGAACCATGGTGGCTAGGTGGTTAAGATGCTGGCTCGCTAGCCTGAAGGTCGGGTGTTCGATCCCTGCATTGGCCGAGTAAGCTCATCAGGATTTTCAGACGTGGTTTCCCCTTGTCAGTGGTGCAGAATGGAGGGCCTGACAAGGACAGCTGTCTAGTCCTTCGGATGATACGGAAAACCGAGGTCCTGAGTATACATTTGAATGCATGTAAAAGATCCATTGGCAGTTGGAATTCGATATAAGAGTAGGCGATAGTGCCACTTTCTGGACAAAATTTCCCTCATAGCACACTGTATTGGAGCAGAACAGTAGGACGTTAAACCCCATTTCATTTCATTTCTAGCTTACTGATACTTATTTTAATGCTAAACGTCATCATCAGGGATGCCCGTCTATTTTTAGTAACACTGCGTCAAAACATGGCTGCGCACTTCAAAGACAAATATTAAAATGTTAATTAAAGTGATTTGAGTAAGTGTCAAAGCTGGGGTTTGGTTTTAAAATACTGAAATCAAATATTTCAGTATCATTTTTCAAATGTCTGATAGCTGTATAGTTTGTGAGTCAGTTGTTCGCCCAAGACAGGAGGCTGTTCAGTGCGACAGATGTGAACGATGGCAGGACAGAACTTGTAATACTGGTAAGACTTTAATGTTATTTTTTTAAAAATCAACAATATTGTATTAAATTCAACAATATTTTCAGGTGTATCTAGTCCTAGATCCCGTATTGTATTAATTTCAACAATATTGTATTTTTCAGATATATCTATCTACAGCCCAGTACCGCAGGATGGTGAAGGAATTGACAGTGGTGGCTCTCAAATGTATGGAAATGTGCAGCACCCATGAAACCACAAGTTTGACTTCACCGAAGGCGGAAAGTACTAGACTGTCTTTGCCTGTAGGCCTACCGAGTGACCAGAGTATATTCAACTTGTCAGTTCGCCCCGACGTCGACATGCCGGAAAATATTCAGGAAAAGTAAGTACATGCATAGTTTATCATATCCAGAACAAGTTTATTATTAATATTATCCTTAAAATATATCATATCCAGAACAAGTTCATTTTTATCCTTATTATTTATCATATCATGTTTATATGGTTTTTATATTGTTATTAACAGTCCATAGCTGAAGATTTGTCAACGACAGAGGCAATGGTAACGTACAAAGTCGTAGATAATGGCACCCAAAATAATAATTCAAAAATAATAATAATCATCATATATTTTTGATGTAATAAATAATTTAACATTATTATTTTTATAAATTGTTGATCTAATAAATTCTTAAATTGTTGATGTAATAAATTTTTATATTACTGATTAAATTAATAAATTAAAAAAACCAGCGGCTGCCAGGGCCATAATCCATGAAGTTTCGATCCGATACATGCCATATCGAAAGCAGCCGAGATCTTTTGGGGATAAACCTATATTTCAAGTTTCGTCGAAATCGGATAAGAATTGTGACCTGTAGAGAGTCCACAAACAATTGTGGACGGACGGACAGGGGTGACGGCATAATACGTCCACATGAAAATGTGGCCGTATAAAAATCAATATTTTTTGTGGTATTTATTTGTAACTTGGAATGAGTGGGTTTTTTAAAGTTCGGATGAGTTGTCTTATAACTTCGGATGAGTTGTCTTTTGACTTGGGATGAGTTGTCAGGTATTCCTGTCTCTATATGCAAGTCAGTAAAGAAGTGACATAGGAGTGAGTCTGACATATTAGAGCAGGTTATCCAGTGTACCCGATATACTGGGCAAAATATTCAATGCGCATGTCAACACAGAGTTATATCCACTCTATCACATCTCATCCAAGCGAGATTACGTGTCAAATCAATTCAATGACGTCACATGCAGTCAATGATGAAAATAATTATCATTCTTTCTTTTTTAAACGAAATTCATTAATCGGTAATTTATCCAATACTCATACAATTAAGATCTGAATTAAAATCAATTTGGAATAGGCCTAAAGAAATTATTTAACATTTTTGGCTTGCATCACTTGAGAAACTTAATAAATAAGGTTTTATCCTAATAATAATTTAACAATCAGCTTCGCTTTACTCAGGCAATGCCTGTTGTTTTCATATTAAGAACCTTCGTCTGTCACTCAGGAAGAATGTGTAGTTGAACATTGTAAACTTCAAAAATGTTCCTCAACAAATTTCCTGTCATGTGGAGGAATCAGATCCATCTCTTGCTTTTTTTGTGTGACGTTATTTTTCTCGTCAGCACGCGCTATTAGGCGCCATTGAAGAGTAAAGCAACCAAAAATACTGCATAGTAAAATGATTAGAAATATATGTAGATCTATATGAATAAAAATATGGCATGGTTTTATAATATTTTTTGATTGAATATGAAGCAAAATAGTCATCAGTGATGATAACAAAGAAAGGGTTGTCACAAATTCACGCATCAACTCAACTTGTCAAGGTCACAACATCAACACAACAGATCGAGAGTGGCGTTCACACCGGCCTGTAGTCTCCCAAATCAGGAACGGAACGGTCATCAGATCAGGGTCAAAACATAATATTATAGGTAACTGGTATTATATGAATAATACGTTAGCAGTAATCACAACCAAATTAAGGTATATTTAATGTACATTTTACAAAACAAATAAAAATCAGCACAGCTGACGTTGACTCTCTCGAGTCTCTGCAGTGTAGATTCTATGTTGTCAAAAAAAAAAAATGTGTTTCGTCCACTCACCCGTCGTTTAAAAGGTCAAACTCAATTATTCTCTGTGCATCCATCTAATTTAACTTTGGCATCCATAACCTTTCCAAAATTATATTAAAATTATGGTGTTATTCACATTTTTTTTCCTCCCAAAGTGCTCGAGTTTTCAGATTATAAAAATGGCGGATCGCATTGAATTGCGCGCCCTTGTTAATGAGATGGGTGGTGGAAAAAGCTGATTGGTCCGGTCCTTGATGAATCATATCTATTTTTAGAATACTAACTTTTATCATTTCCACAAGGCTCTACGGCATAATATACTGCCCGTGTTCAATTTAACTTCGTCATAGAATAAATTATTAAAACACGAAAATAGTTTTAAAAATAAATAAATGAATTTCTGGGCTAGGCCTAAAAATCTATTTATCTTTAAAAAAAAAAAAAGAAATCACACGCAAATTTTGAATGGAAATCCAATTAAATTAGTTAATGCCCAACTGCAATTTTCACTGGGGGGTTGGATGGCTGAATGGTTAGCGTGTGCACGCTGTATCATAAAGTCTGTCATTGAGTCAACTGGTGTGGTTAGTCCTGAAATGACCTAGTTTGTGTCGAGTGGAGTTAAACTCCATTTCTCTCTCAATTTTCACTTGTGGCGTGGGGTGTTGTTGCATATCAGAATGGTTAGGATGTGCGTGCTGTATCATAATAAGGTCTGTCAACTGGCGTGGTTTCGATTCTCCGGTTGTATGTGACAAGGACTGAAGGAGTAGGGTCGCCTGTCTAACCTTTTGGGTTTTCTCTGGGTCCTCCAGTTTCCTCCCACTGCTAAAGACCCCTACACGCAAGCGAATTATTGAAATAATTAGACATTAATTAACTTATCCAGACCAATCAACTCACGATGTCATTTACTGGATTATGATCTCATTTGCTGCTCAACTTTCATTCATGATTTAATCATGAAATGGATAATCAAGACTATGGGGTTTTTTTTATCGTACTGACTTGAAATGGAGTAATGATCAAGGCTAGGCCGAAATTTCAATCTCTTAATTCTCGGTTCATAGTGGATCAATTTGACTGAAATTTTTAGCATATTGCCCTTACATTATCTAGTTTTTAACTTTATAGTGAGAACTGCTAGCTCTTTATCTAATCTGCCATAATGTATCTTTAAATAGTTTATTGTTGGCATTATGAGAGAGATGAGGATTAATGTCCACTTGACACATTTTGGGAATAACATATATGGTTCAATATTAGCAGTGAGAGGAAACTGGAGGACCCAGAGAAACCCATGAGGTATAACAGGCGACACTACTCCTTGTCATGTGGAACCATAGTGGCTCAGTGCGTAAAATTTCCCTCATAGCACACTGTATGGCATATGTCCAACTTCATTAGCTCATCGGTGCAGAAAAGTAGGTGTTCCATTTCCTCATGTTAAACCCCAGGGAATCGAAACCACAGCACTTGACTTGTTGACAGACCTTCGGATCTAAAGTGCACATGTTTAAGAATTCGGCAACCCCAGTTCGAATTTTAGAATACAGAATTAGATTACTTGACTCCACCATTCACTCGGTTATTTGAAAGGGACTAAATCAACTCGGCGTACCTGAGATAATATTTCTTCTAATTTTGGTGCATACATGCGTCATGCATAGGATTAGACTGCAGTGAGGTCATATTGACGGCAATGCTTTGCATGTTTGTTTTTTCAATGTTTTTCGATAAATGTAGGAGAAAGAATAATATGCTCTGGAACTCCTCTGGACACGCTGCATTGACTCGTTTAATGCAGCATTTAAACATTCAGCGATATGCGATACTACTTTTCAGTCTCAACAACAAATTGTGTATTCATATCAATAATTGTTTTTAATATAATTCAATTTTAGTACAAATTTTAACACTGTGAATAAATTTAAAGACGATGAGATGCTAACTTGTCTGATTGGAATCTAAACTGGAAGTTTTTGGGCCATTTCATTTCTGGAATTAATGTGGGCACAGAATGTGTTTTCGGTTCCACCATTTCCATTCTGCTCCCTCCCCAAAATATGGAATTCTGGCAGGCACAGAGTGGGAAATCGGTTCCATGGCTATATTGGACTACTTACTTATTGCTGTACTTACTTACAGACTGGAATGACAGGAAACACGATTGCAGCAATTCCATTTTAAGCCCTTAGTACCCCCAAATTGATTGCGCTTGTACGCCTGTACTTGAAGCATATAATCTACTTGAGTAAGTAGTTTATGTGGTTTTGTACCAAAAACGCATGGTTTTCACTTGACATCGGTACTGCCCCACTACTTCTTTATCTGTTTACACAGCAGGAGGGCAGTGCCCTGACAGAATGCCACCTTTAAGAACTCTTGCTTTCCCATTGATCCCAAGGGATTTAAAGTTTGCAATTGCAAATTTTCAAATTATATTTTTAAAATGTATTAAAATAAAGCCTTAAAATAGATGGTATCCATAAACAGTCCTACCTTGTTAAAGAATAATCCTATTAATCCTATTATTCCTATAATTCGTTATTGCCAGCTGAGAAATTGGCAAAAATATAATTTTTAACTTCAAATTCCAACGTTGGAAAATGGCTGCCCCATGTTGTCAATAGCAAAACAGGGGAGGTAATTGTGTTGTTATTTCCTGTGTCATAGATTTTTAAGGGTGGGAAATAATGCCCATGATCGTATAATAGTGATTTGATAACCTATTGAGCAAAAGACATAGAAATAATTATGTTTTGACTTTCTTAGAAAATTTGAAATTCATTAAATTTTAGTCCAATTTTCACGAAATTTGAACTCAACCATCATTAGTGCATAACTGTGATATATTCACACGTTTTGTTTTTTTTTAAATCGGATAAAAAAAATGTGACCTCCAGAGGGACCACAAGCTAAAAAAGGCGAATTTTCATAAAATCAGGGGCCATAATTCAGGAAGTTAAGAATCAATATGTGCAAATATCGAAGAAACCCAAGATCTTTGGGTTATAAACATGCATTTCAAGTTTCATTAAAATCGGATTAAAATTGTGACCTCTACAGGGTCCAGAACGAAATGAAATGGGGTTTAACATCCTACTGTTCTGCTCCGACTGGGCTAATGAAGACGGAGGGTCCACAACCTTGATTTACCATATTTTTACAAGTGGCAGCCATTTTGTCCGGTAGTTTTGGTCCGATTTTCACGAAATTCGAATTAAACCTTCATTACGGTGTAACAGTGATATAATCAAACGTTTTTTAAAATCAGATAATAATTGTGACCTCCAGAGGGACCACAAGCTAAAAAAGGCGATTTATTGTATAATCAGGGGCCATTATTCAGGAAGTTATGATCCCATATGCGCAAATATCGAAAGAATTCAAGATCTTTGGGTTATAAACATGCATTTTAAGTTTCATAAAAATAGGTTTAAAATTGTGACCTCTACAGGGTCCACAATCTTGATGTACCATATTTTTTACACTATTCGCGTACAAGTGGCAGCCATTTTGTCCTTTTTTACGGTGTAACGGTGATATAATCAAATAAATGGGTTTTTTTTAAATTGGATAATAATTGTGACCTTCAGAGGGACCACAAGCTAAAAAAAGGCGATTTTTCGTACAATCAGGGGCAATAATTCAGGAAGTTACGATCCGATATGCGCAAATATCGAAAGGAACCAAGATCTTTGGGTTATAAACATGCATTTCAAGTTTCATCAAAATCGGTTTAAAATTGTGACCTCTATAATCTATAGGGTCCACAAGCTAAAAACGTGATTTTTCATAGGATCAGGGGCCATAATCCATGAAGTTTCGATCCGATACATGCCAATATCGAAAGCAACCAAGATCTTTTGGGGATAAAACTATATTTCAAGTTTCGTCAAAATCGGATAAGAATTGTGACCTGTAGAGTATCCACAAACAATTGTGGACGGACAGGGGCGACGACTATATACGTCCACATGAAAATGTGGGCGTATAAAAATGAAAATATTATTAAAGAAATATGTCTCCATATTTAGCACTCAAAATATTACAATACAATAATTATACAGAATTAAATATACACCTGTACCATGATAACAAATTCACTAATACAACCATAAAGATCTTAATGTCCACTTATCACCAGATCATTTCAGGACTAACATGATACATTCAATAGTTCGAAGGTGCATAAGGTTCTTTCGCAGTGGTGGGAAAAAACCCAGAGGATCCAGAGAAACCCCACAAGGTTAAGCAGACGATCCCCTTCCCCATATATAATCAACCATTAAAAGTTCATAGTAAATAGAAACAAATCACTGTCAATGTTATTATAAATGTCCTCCTAATGTCTACTCACTGTAGATAATATTTCACATCTATGCGGGTACTGTAAAACACATGTCACACTATCCTTGTTTGTTAATAAACTGTTACCGATTTGCTGGGAGTTTGTTTTCTTTGAGAGAAACTTTAGTATATTTATTAAATGAAATGGGGTTTAACATCCTACTGGAAGGTTTTTTTTAAGTATCTTAATGGGACCTCAGTTTTCCGTTCCATCCAAACATCTAGACACTGTTTCTTGCCAGGCCCTCCATCCTAAATCATAGACAAAGGAAAACCACGCTGGTAAATTCTGGGGAAAATTTTTGGCCAACACATGGATCAAACTCCAGACCTCCTGGTTAGTGAGCCAGCACGTTATTCACTGATCCAACGGCAGCAAGTACATTTATTAGGAAAAACATATAAATACAACATTTGATAATATAAAGACTGCTGGAACTGTAGTTTTGCAGTACATGTGATTTGTAATCCACAGTGTAGCAACAGTTAATTATGAATTCTTACTTAAAGCTTTATCTCTGTTACAATAAATAATCATGTTATAGAATACTATTTAACAATTTTTATGATAAAAATCAGATATATAATCATTAGCTTTACTATCATCTAAATCTTCATTTTATTCTTTTTTTCCAATGAGTGGTTTGAGTTTGTTTGTAAAAGCTTCCAACCCAACATTCTGAAATTTATATAAATGTATACAATTCAACATCCACTCAACACAAACTAGGTCATTTTGGGACTAAATATGGTAAATTTTATTTCAATAATTCACTTGAAGGAAACTGAAGGACCCAGAGGAAATCCATGAGGTTAGGCATGCAACATTACATGTAGATTGAATCTTCTACTTTCCATATATTGTCGGTGGGCGATCAAAACCACGTATATCAATTTTGGCGCCAAAAACGTTTTTTTACATGGTTAGAATCGTAAATTAATGGCGTGTCGAATGCTCTATTCGCGGTAGTTGTAATCCAGTTAGAACTCAAGTTATAGGCATGTGACTAAACATCGTATTCTGATTCGTGAAATTTTCTACAAACCAAAATGGCGTATCTTATATACGCCAGTTTGTCATAAAACATCTTTCAAAGTCACGTGGTTTTTAGGAACCAAAAAGTCGTATCTCCTTATTGACATCGACGCAGGCTACAGGCTAACAAGGTAAGAATTTAATTTCACATTACTAAGTCTTAAGTTTTGTCTAACACAGCCTGTCCATTTTGACATAATAGTAGTATTTTGAATCTAAATGATAGAGGAATTCACGTTAGAAAGAGTAGAAAGAGGTAAAACTGTGTCCCAAATCTAGATGAAAAAAAAAGAAAACAATAGTCTTGAACTTTTAGACAATCGAACGAACCAGCTTACTTAATAATTTAATTTCTCATTACTAAGTCTTAAGTTTTGTCAAACTGTTTTATTATTATTCTTATTTGTTTCAGGTGCCCATTACAATGACGTATTCGAATTCGTCTTTCTCAAGGGGGAAACGTATGCTTGAGATCTCCTTCAATTCGAATAACCTATTTACACAGATTATTTTTAGGGTAATTTACCTAGTACAGTGGCGGACGCAGGATTTTTTTTTATCGGCCGTGGGGGGGGGGGGGGGGGCGGAGCAAATCGGGAAAAATCAGGGTGTCAATGGTGGATTATGAAGCTTATCTGCACCCGAATATAACACTCAATTTCATCAGCTGTAGCTGACATAATTCAAGGCAAATAACCCTGAGCCATAATAACCAAGACATAATTCAAGGTAAGTAATCCAAGGCTATAATATCCACGACATAATTCAAGGTAAGCTACCTAGGGTCATAGCATCTACTACACAATTCCAGGTAAGTTTTCTGGTAGGTACATAGCCTTGGATCGGTTCTGGTAGGTAAATATAGCCTTGGATAGGGATGATACTGAATACGCAACCTAAGATCAGATATCAAGTTTCGTGATATTTACTCCATAAACAGGAGTTATAAACAAAACCCAATGTACGTTTAGCCAGGAGCCTGGAATCTATAAGAGAAAAGCTATCGAATTAGACTTTTCAAAAACTGTTGTGAAGACTTGTTCTAGGTACATCTTGTCTGACGATGATCGGCAGTAATGGGACGGCAATTTAGATAAAGGGTCTAGAAATCTTTTAGCGGTTAAATATGTAGACGATTCTCTATTCTTGGATTTTTTTCTCTTTTCGGTTGAGCCAGGTGTTGTACCGTTTTTGGAACGGTCGAACCATCTGTACACCCTTTTTTCTCCGAGAGCAAACGTCGATAAAACATATTCTTGCAGACCTGTAGTCTGTCATTGTTTTTAATTAAGTGGTAATGGTAAGTAGTTTGCTTTCTGTATGTCTTTTCTTCCGTTTCGCATACGGTTCTATCCTTGACATTACATTTTTTTACAAGATTTACTATGTATACCTCTTTTTGGTCCCAACTCATCTTCCAGAATGCTTCAAATAGATTACGCCTGTCATCCTCTGTAAATTTTGAACATAATTTGCTAGGATTTGGAGCTTTACACTTTGATGTACAGGACGATGGTGTAAGACGTTTGCTCTCGGAGAAAAAATGGTGTACAGATGGTTCGACCGTTCCAAAAACGGTACAACACCTGGCTCGACCGAAAAGAGAAAAAAATCCAAGAACAGAGAATCGTCTACATATTTAACCGCTAAAAGATTTCTAGACCCTTTATCTAAATTGCCGTCCCATTACTGCCGATCATCGTCAGACAAGATGTACCTAGAACAAGTCTTCACAACATTTTTTGAAAAGTCTAATTCGATAGCTTTTCTCTAATAGATTCCATGCTCCTGGCTAAACGTACATTGGGTTTTGTTTATAACTCCTGTTTATGGAGTAAATATCACGACACTTGATATCTTATCTTAGGTTGCGTATTCAGTGTCATCCTTATCCAAGGCTATATTTACCTACCAGAACCGATCCAAGGCTATTTACCTACCAGACAACTTACCTGGAATTGTGTAGTAGATGCTATGACCCTGGGTAACTTACCTTGAATTATGTCCTGAATATTATAGCCTTGGATTACTTACCTTGAATTATGTCTTGGATATTATGGCTCAGGGTTATTTGCCTTGAATTATGTCAGCTACAGCTGATGAAATTGAATGTTGTATTCGGGTGCAGATAAGCTTCACAATCCACCACTGACACCCGATTTGCTCCGCACCCCCCCCCCCCCCCCCCCCCCGGCCGATAAAAAAATATCCTGCCTCCGTCACTGTACTAGGTAAATTACCCTAAAAAATAATCTGTGTAAATAGGTTATTAAGAACAAAACGTCGTATATACTCAGAACAGGCTTATAGTTTGTGAACAGAACGTTGTATATCACATACGCCGCCATTTCACAAGACAAAATGTCGTATATAGCCACAGCACATAAACCTCTAAAATTATCCCAAAAATAACCTCCCCATATTAAATTTTCCACAATTTAGTTCATAAATTAGAAATATAATCACATTCAATAAAAAATCCGGGACCGCAGACAGTTTTTTGTTTCCCCTGAAAACTTAATAAAATCCGATATACGAGATTTTGATCCCCACCGACGATATACCAAAATTACCGTACTTTTATTGGAAATAACCACCTGATAAATACTTTTTATGGGAATGTATCTTTAATTTCTTGTTCCTCAGTAGTCCACCCAACTGCTGAAATACTTTACCTTATAAATAAAAGCCAAAAATGCACCAAATAATACAAGTGGTAGAAATGGTAAATATGACAGAATTCCTGTTCTTTTAGGTTTCTTGCCTGTTAGGAAGTTGATAACACTAAATTTTCTGTCTGTATAGGGTGGATAACGAACACTGAAATAAAACAATTTTTTTTTAACCTTTTACCTAATATAATATGTGTATAAACATAACTGATCATATCAGCAGTCTTAGTCTATGTGATAGCAGCAGCAGTTTTGTTAACAGCGAGAGTATTATTTTCTCTTTCTTTTTCAGTAAATTACTAATTAATATTAAAATCTAGTCTCGATTGATAAAAAAATTCACCTGTCAAGCAAAAACAAATAATATAAGAACAGCATTTTTTTCCTGTATCAACATCGACTCTAATTTGGGATAAAAAAAATACCTGGAATAACTTGTATATTCTCATATTTTAATTTAAATTTTAAATACATATTAGATGCTAATTTTGAATCAAAACCTGCTTGATTTATACGATGCTATATACTCACGCATTAATAAAGTCCATTGCTAGAGTTCGTTTAAGAACACTTCTTTTATGTGAAAATGCATCAAACGAAAATTTTCCATGGTATGAACCTGTACCACTGTGTCCCACACCACCAAATGGTAATGTCATCACTGAATTAAAATAGAAACTGTGTAGTCAAAATGTCAATTGGCCTCGATTCTAGTCTTGATGACTTATTAGATTCAGATCTGGAAAAATTTGTTTGTATTTCTTAGCTGTGGCAATAATATTTGCGTCCCCCTGCACTTACTATTAGTATGGCATTCCAACAACTGTAACAATTTAATTAATAGAGAAGGCAAAATCATAATAAAACAAAATGAAATTGACAAATAATTTTAATCCCTGTCTTCATTAGCCCTGTTTGTTCAGAAAATTAACTCTTTATTTGATTTTACGATTTTAAACAAATTGGATATTCCTAAAACATACCTTGAAACATTGGATATTCTACAACATGTATTCTAACCAATCACTTGGATTATGTGGCCATAAAGGATATATTATAAAGGGTTTACATTGCTTATTTAAATAATTTGCACTGTTTATGTGCTTTTTGAATGAACATGAAGCTGTTTGGTTGATTATGTAAATTTCAGATCGGTGTCCTACTGTCCTGTCGAATAATTGAGGGAGTTTCTATAAGTCAAAGTTGTTGGTGCTGCTGAGCATGAAGCAGATTATGCAGATTCTTTTTGAAACACCTAACACTACTTTGCATGTAGTCCAGACAACCAGCCCTGTTAAAGAACTTTTACTGTAACACTATGTGGTCATTTTTGTATTTACAGACTTAGTTTGATTGTTCATTAGGATCAATGGTACTGTATTTTATTTATGGGCTGGATGGTATGGTCAATTAACTATTGTCAGTGGTGCAAGACAGGAGGCCTGGCAAAGAAAAGTATTTAGTCATTCGTACTAGAGGAAAAACTGAGGATCATCCATGTAATTGCTGCTGTGCATGTAAAAGAAAGCTGTCGGGCGTATGTCCTTTTTCATGAGCCCAGTTGGTGAAGAAATGCAGGACATTAAACACCATTCCATTTTTTTCAATTCGGGCCTTTTTGGTGCCTGTATCAGACAGTGATTATATTGACCTTTACTGTCATCCTTATATCTAGGATGGTCACATAGTTATTTAATTAAATATTAGTATAATTAAAGGTTCTTACCACCTGCATGGATCACAGTATCATTAACAGTTACACCACCACTACTTGTCTGTTGTAAAAACTTGTCTACTATTTTATTATTATTAGAAAATACATACATAGCCAATGGCTTCTCTCTGTAATAGACAATGTGTAATCTTGTTAAAGGGACAATAATCATCTGGGTTTTTTTTTAACTGACATGCCCAATAATTTAACTTTATCACGAATAACATGGCAACTTCACATTGCCATTAATATATGTACTATTTCACTGAAATACACATATTATTACTCCATTATTAAATATGTATTACGTAAGATAGATAAATAAAAATATTGAAAATTTCATTCAAATCACTTTATAACTGTTCGAAGTTATAACTGTTCGAAGTTGTGACAAGATGTGGCATAGATTGTTTATTATCATAACAACAGTACTCGTTATGCGTCATTTTTAAATTAAATCAATAAATGGCAACTGTCTTTTAATCTGTTAAAATCTCTGTCACCCAATGATCTAGAGAGTTGATTGTAGCTTGTCATGTGAATAAATGTCTAAATAATAATTTACAATTTGAAGATAAAATAAAGACCTGCAATAGGCAGATTTAGCTCTTACATAATCCATCTTGGGGCAAATTTAATCACAAAAAAATATCTGAATAAAGAATTAGCTGATGTGTGTAAAAAAAATTCAAAATGTTTTTGCTAAAAAAATGGTGAGATGAAATGGAGATACTTTATTTCAAATTGATCAATTTGAATAAGTATATTTTAAATCTGATTATGAGCATGCTACTCCCCTCTGTATTTGATACATTGATGAAATGAGGGATTATCAAATATTTATCTTACCCATCATTGATATAATCAATAGCTTGATCTTCATTTATAACAGGCATTATAGGTAACACTGGTCCAAATATCTATATACAACACCAAGAATAAATAACTACACATATCACACAGTTAAAGGACAATATTGGTGCCAGTCATTATCACATATGTGATAGAACTAATTAAACACATTCCAAATATAATTTTATCACAGAGATCAGTGCTACGATAGCTGAGTAAAACAGGTTTCCTGAATCGGAAGTGACGAACGCCAAAGGAAAACACGAGCCATCCCTCTATATAACTTACTGATGTGACGAGTGATAACAGATACACGGCCGAATTTCTGCTCACTAATAATTCCTTCCAAAACCAAAAGTTGTTATATGGGACTGTAAGAGGATACCTGACAATTCAATAAAGTAATTGAATGTCATTAGATAAGAGAACACGAGAAAAATAGAAATAGTCTGTACATTCCCTTGTTTATTTTCATTCTATACCTTATAAAAACATGGCAATGCACAGACTTTTTCTGTTTTTCTTTCGTGTTCTCTTATCTAGTGGCAGTCAATTATTTTTATGAATTGTCAGATATCCTCTCACAGTCTCACACAACAACTTTTGGTCTTGGAAGGAATTATTAGTGAGCAGAAATTTGCCCATGTATCTGTTATCACTCGTCACTTCAGTCAGTTGTATAGAGGGATGGCTCGTGCTTTCCTTTGGCGTTTGTCACTTCCGATTCAGGAAACCTGTATTACTCAGCTATCATAGCAATGAGCTCTGTGATAAAATTATATTTGGAACGTGTTTAATTAGTTCTATCACATATGTGATAACGACTGACACCAATATTGTCCTTTAAAGATGCATTATCTCTCTCATCAAGAAAAAATATGAATTGCCAGGCAACCAAATTTATGTACACAGCAGCTAAGTCTTTCAAACAGTCCAAAAAGTTAATCATATAATAACTTTAGCATCTTGAGTGTCCACATGATTTTTCTATGAGATCAAGGGCCAAGAATCTCAGCAGTAATTATCATAAATCATCCACAGTAATTATCGTAATCATTGAAATTCAATAGGATTTAGCAAAGTGAAACAAGGACCATAACTCTATAGACCTAATTAAGGGAAAGTTCTGATATTCAATAGGATTCTTCATTTCACTAATTAAAACATACATTATGCAAGAGCTAAATCTGCCTATTGCAGGTCTTTCTTTAGGCCTGAAATGTTATCTAAATTATTAACTTATCCAGACCATAATCAACTATCGACGTCATCGCTAGCCTGCAATATTTACTGGAATGGAATCCGATCTGCTGCTCAACGCTCATTGATGATTAAATAAAAAAATAGATAATCAAGACTATGATTTTTATCGTACCGACTTTAGTACTGATAATCAAGGCTAGGTTTAAAATTCAATTGCTAAATTCTCGGTTCAAAGTGGATCAATTTGACTGAAATTTTCAGCAAATTCCCTTTACATTATCTAGTTTTTAACTATTATAGTGAGCACTGCCAGCTCTTTATATAATCTCCCATAATGTATCTTTAAATGATGTATATAAATGATGTATAATACAGATCGGATGATAACTTTTATCATAGAGCGTTTACAAGGTTCCACAAAGTGAAAGAAGGATCATAACTCCTGAAGAAATAACAGAAATTATTGAAATTAAATAGGATTCTTCGTCTCACTGATGTAAAGTAAACAACATTATATTAATTTCAAAACGATCAAATGTTGAATGTAGTCTGTAAGGCATTCACAAGAAATTATGGACCACGGACATACGGACGGGGACAACGGCAACATACAACCACATTTCCATGTGGGCGTATAAAAAGTGCAACAGCTTCGACAAAATTATCAAAGATAGGTTGCCAGGCATCGAAACATACACCCACAGCAGCTAAGTCGTCCGGGGAGTCAACAAGTGTTGTCGCATATTTTTACTTTTTTTTCGGTAATGAAACATTTATAATACACTAAAATCTGATTAAGAGTAACAACTCATGAAGTAATTATCAGAAAACCATTAGAATTTGTTTGGTTTTTATAAAGTTCTGCCCCATGCTAACGTTTAGTATACGAAACTTTTAATATCATGGATTTAGCTGTTCAAGTCATAAAAATTCATTGAAAATCAACATACTTGTTCTTCTCAAGATCTTAAACTCTGTGTATCAATCAGATAATAACTTTAGCCTCTAGAGCGTCACAAGATTTTTCAAAGTGATCAAGGGCCATAACCTTGGCAGTAATTATCGGAAATCGTTGAAAATCAATAAGATTCTTCGTCTCATGACCTCAAACACTGTGTATGAATTTAAAGTCAGTCAGATATTAACTTTAGCCTCTAGAGCATTCACAAGATTTTTTTAAGTGATCAAGGGCCATAACTCTGGCAGTAATTATCGGAAATTGCTGAAAATCAATAGGCTTCTTCGTCTCATGACCTTAAACACTGTGTATAAATTTAAAGTCAATTGGATATTAACTTTAGCCTCTAGAGCATCCACAAGATTTTTTGAAGTGATCAAGGGCCATAACTCTGGCAGTAATTATCGGAAATCGCTGAAAATCAATAGGCTTCTTCGTCTCATGGCCTTAAACACTGTATATAAATTTAAAATCAATCTGATATTAACTTTAGCCTCTAGAGCATCCACAAGCAATTGTGGACGCCGGACGGACGGTGGCGACGACAATATACGACCACATTTCAATGTGGGCGTACAAAAATCGTAGAAAATCAATAAGCTTTTATGTCTCATGAAAATAAACACTGTGTCTTATTTCCAAGTCGACCAGATGATGACTTTAACGTGTCCACAATCATTCGTGGAAGAAGGACGGACTACAGACTAACTGGATTTTCGAAAATTCAAGCAATAACCTTCCCAGAGTAAGTTATTCATCAATTAAAAAAAAAAAAAAAAAAATTTGTATGATTCATAAATCAAAAGTTAAACGATTTCAGCAATGGCTTGACAGATTTGTCTCAAATTTTGAATATTTTCAGACTTACTTCACTTTGCATGACAGTATCTGTAGGTTTAACATCTTTAATAACAGTAGGAGAAATAAATCTCTCATCTTCTTTAATATCGCCTCCAATAACTATAACACCAGATTTTAACATACTTTTCACTCGTCTATAGAATAACATAATTACATCAGTTATAACAAAACATGTTGCTCTTCTCAACAGTGTAGCATGATCTGTAGTATAAGAACTGAGGACATACACTTCCACATAATATATGGGCGTGGTCTAGGAATACTTGTTTTCCCGTAATGTAGTACACAAGTGATTAAGGGAAATAATGTAACACTTTGGTCCTTAAGACAATTTTGGTTCTTTGCAAAATTGTTGCTTCACTTTGTCTATAGAGTCAAATCACACTTACTTAATGAACGTGAATATATAGTTATACATAAAATACATCAAATTCTGGCTGTTAATTGACCTATGGTTAGCAGACCAAATAAGGTAATGTCTCCTCCTTTAGTCGTGTGAAATAAAGAGGTTTATTTGGGATTAAAATTAACGTCAATGTTATCGAAGACCTGCAGAAATTAGGGGTACAAATTAGGGTGTAGAGCGAATTGGATCAGAGCTCATTCAGAAATTCCTAGCAGCCATTATTATTGAGAACGAGGAACCCTCAAAGCCATTACAGCTTAGCAATAAAGTTGTAAAACCATTAATGCTGCAGTCTTGTTACGATCACGAAGAAACAAACACAACAGGGAAAAAAGTCTGATAGTACTACAATAACTGACAATATACAATGGAAATTATGGAAAATCAATAGGGTTTTTTTGTCCCGTAAACATAAGATCCGTGCATGATTTGAAGTTAATAGGATGATAACTTTCGCCTCTAGAGCATCTTCAAGCAGACAGGGGACCACAATTTACTTACTGAAAATGTCTGTCATTAATAATTCGACCATAGCATTCAGATGTGGCTGCATTGCCATCATAAAACTGATCAATAACCATTTTAATTTTTTCTATGAGTTCATTCTAAAAAATCATAAAACAAGAAGTGTATTTCGAAATATCTGAATGTATCATTCATGGAGAATAACTTTCAAATGCAAAATTTTAAATTAGGGTATCAATTGCTTTTATTTTTACTTTATACATCAACCTTATTTGTTATACAAAATTACTGTTTTTCTGGTTTGAATGTGCTTGTCTGAACTATGATCAAGTAAATTTGAACTTCTTGTATTAAAGGATATATTTTGGGTATGAGATATAAATCACACCTGTCAATATTTACCTGTACTTCTGCTGTACACATGACATAATCTGGCGCTATACATGTCTGGCCTGAATTACAAGTTTTACCCCACATCAATCTTTTAGCTACTGTTAACATATCAACACCTTTATCTACATATACAGGGCTATAATATTATAAAGAGACAGAGATGTCATTTTGGGACTAACATATGGTTCAATAATTCGCGTGCGCACAGGGGTCTTTAGCCATGGGAGGAAATTGAAGAATCCAGAGTAAACCCACAGGATAAGGCAGGTGACACTACTCCTTGTCACGTCCAAGCATAGTATTGAAACCCTGCCACTTTACTCAATAACAAACCTTATGATCCAAGAGAGAGAGAGAAATAGGGTTTAACGTCCACTCGACACAAACTAGGTCATTTCGGGACTAACATATGGTTTAATTTTATTTCAATAATTCGCTTGCGCGTAGGGGTCTTTAGCAGTGGGAGGAAACCGGAGGACCCGGAGAAAACCCACGAGGTTGGACTTATGATCCAAAACATGCTAGAAAACCCACCCAGCCTATAATAATAATCAGGGTTCCAAATTAGAATTGGATTATTATAAAGATTTACTAACAACTGTTTCAAAGGCTGGTATCTATAGTGTCAATAGTTCCTGTGCAATATATAGACAACACAATAGCCCGCAGAGGCTCAGTGAGTATGACACTGGCTCACTAACCAGGAGGTCCAGGGTCCAATCCTGGTATTGGCATAGAAAGTTACCAGGGATTTTCCTAAGTGGTTTCCCCTTGTCAGTAGTGCAGGACTTTAGGGCCTTGCAATGAACATCATCTAGTCAATTGGATAGGAATGAAAATCAAGGTCCTGTGTACACATTGGCATGCAAGTAAAAGAACCCTTGACAGTTGTAATTCTATACTCTACTGAACCAACTACTAGATTTTTATATCAGCTCATTGAAAGCCCTTTAAGGACAATTTTGAGATCATCCAAGATCAAAATATTCTTTAGATGTGTATAAATTTGAGAATATGATATGGTCAGTAATCTAATAAAATTCACCGAAAAGTGAGTCTCTGGCAAATATGAAACAACAATCTAGTATTTATTAAACTTTTATAAAATACCTTTTACCACCTAATTCTAACACAACTGGTGTCAGATGCTTAGCTGCTGCTTCCATTACTATCTTTGCTACAACATTATTTCCTGTATAAAATATTTGGTCAAATCTTTCTTTTAATAAAGCTGTAGTTTCTTGTACCCCTCCATTTACAACTCGTATACATTCCTAGTTTAATAAACAATTTATAAATATACATTATTGATGTTTGTCTTAAACTATGGATACAACAACTTAATAATATTTACAATAGGGATTGACCAGTTGCAGACACAGGATATTTGTTGGGGGGGGGGCTCCTCCAATAACATTTTGAACAATTTGGCTGTCTATGGTGATTTGCGGTGCAGATCTGGACCTGAATATAACATTCAATTTTATCAGCTACATCATCCCCAGCCAACAAAAAACTCTAAATTTACATAATAACCCTTCTGGAAATCTGGCCATTTGGTTTCATGGATTTAAACAGGGTTATTAGAGGGATTAATAGTTCAGGACATCAGCAAAATATATCAGATTTCAGATTTATATTTTCTCCTTGATTCATGTGCACAGTTAATAACTTTTACTTACATTATCCATGTATTTATTTATCAACTTTTCCAGTAGAATGGCTATATTGTGAGCCAATTCTGATGGTTTTATAACACAGCAATTACCTGAAATTTAGAATCTTATTTATTGCCAGTACACAATCTGATTAAAGTACAGATTTATATTTCGTATATTTATTCTTTTGTAGGTAATTAGGGGAATTTAATAGACAATTTCATACAGATGACATTATAATTTTTGTAGTTTGAGGGTTCCAAAAACAAAAACAAGGCCATAACTCTGGAAGTAATCTACAGAAATTGTTGAAATTCAACAGGCTTTTTTGTTTTACTAATTCAAATAATGCATATAAATTTCATACAGATCGGATGATAACTTTTGTCGTTCACAAGGTTCAACAAAGTAAAACAAGGGCCATAACTCTAGAAGTAATAGACGGAAATTGCTGACATTCAATAGGCTTCTTCATTTCACTAATTTAAATGATGCACATGAATTTCATCCAGATTAAGTGATAACTTTTGTCGTTCAAGCGTTCACAAGATTCAACAAAGTGAAACAAGGGCCATAGCCCATAACTCTAGATGTAATTAACGGAAATTTGCTGAAACTCAATAGGCTTGTTTTTTTTTTATAATTTAAACGATACATATAAATTTCATACAGATCGGATAACAACTTTTGTCGTTAGAGCATTCACAAGGTACAACAAAGTGAAACAAGGGCCATAACTCACGGCATAATTAACATAAATTGCTGAAATTTAATAGGCTTCTTCGTTTAAATGATGCATATCAATTTCAAACAGATCGGATGATAACTGTTGTCATTAGAGTTTTCACAAGATTCAAAAAAGTGAAACAAGGGCCATAACTCCAGAAGAAATTAACAGAAATTGCTGAAATTCAATAGGCTTCTTCATAATTTAAATGATGCATATCAATTTCATACAGATCGGTTGATAACTTTTGTCATTAGAGTGTTCACAACATTCAACAAAGTGAAACAAGGGCCATAACTCTAGATGTAATTAACGGAAATTGCTGAAATTCAATAGGCTTTTTTGTTTTACTAATTTAAATGATGCATATAAATTTCGTACAGATCGGATAATTACTTTTGTCATTAGAGATTCACAAGGTACAACAACGTGAAACAGGGGCCATAACTCACGGTGTAATTAACGGAAATTGCTGAAATTCAATAGGCTTCTTCGTTTCACTAATTTAAATGATGCATATCAATTTCAAACAGATCGGATGACAACAACATAAGAAACAGGGGCCTTAACTCACGGTGTAATTAACGGAAATTGCTGAAATTCAATAGGCTTCTTCGTTTCACTAATTTAAATGATGCATATCAATTTCAAACAGATCGGATGATAACTGTTGTCATTAGAGCGTTCACAACATTCAACAAAGTGAAACAAGGGACATAACTCTAGATGTAATTAACGGAAATTGCTGAAATTCAATAGGCTTCTTTGTTTTACTAATTTAAATGATGAATATAAATTTCATACAGATCGGTTGATAATTTTTGTCGTTAGAGCGTTCACAAGGTGCAACAAAGTGAAACAAGGGCCATAACTCCAGAAGAAAACTCCAGAAGAAATTAATGGAAGTTATTGAAATTAAATAGGCTTCTTCATCTCACTAATGCAAACAACATATATCAATTTCAAAACAATCAGATGATAAATGTAGTTTGTAGAGTGTTCACAAGAAATTGTGGACGACGGATGGACGGGGGTGACGGCAATATACGACCACATTTCCATGTTGGCGTATAAAAATAATACATCTTATAAATTATCTACATTTTACATGAATAAATATATATATTTTCTGTGTTTTGTTTCTGAATAGCACACCAAGAATTTGATGGTTTCATGATTGTTCTTCAACGAAGTATTACAGTTTTTCAAAACATTAACCAGTTTTATTTTAAAATATATCTGGAACTACTCCTTTAAAAATATCAACCCTACCTGCTGCTATTGCTCCAACAAGTGGCAGTAAAGTTAATTGAATCGGGTAATTCCATGCTCCAATAACTAAGGATACACCAAATGGTTCAGGTTGTATCATCAATGTATCCATAGCAACAAGTAGGTTTTTTGGGGGCTGAAAATATAATCTACATGTAGGGAATATTGAACTAGACAAGCCAACAGTGAGGTTGATGTCTCCCGCCAAAATCCCAAAATAAAGAGATGACACATATTAATTAATTGCACATTTATTTTTATACGCCCATATTTTCATGTGGACGTATATTGTTGTTGCCCCTGTCCATCACAATTTTTATCCAATTTCAACGAAACTGGAAATATAGGTTTATCTCCCGAAGATCTCGGATCCTTTCGATATTGGCATATATCGGAGCGTAACTTCATGGATTATGGACCCTGATAGTACGAAAAATCACGTTTTTAGCTTGTGGACTTGTGGTCACAATTTTTATTTGATTTTGTTGAAACTTGAGATGTAAGTTTATAACTCAAAGATCTTCGCGCATATTGGACCGTAACTTCCTGAATTATGGCCCCTGATTGTATGATAAATCGCGATTATAGAGGTCATAATTTTTATCCAATTTAAAAAAACGTTTTAGTACATCACCGTTACACCCTTAGGATGGTTGAGTTTGAATTTCGTGAACATTGGACCAAACTGACAGACAAAATGGCCGCCACTCATTCTCAAATATCGTAAAAATATGGTATATCAAGGTCACAATTTTCTTCTGATTTTGATGAAACTTGAAATGTAAGTTTAAAACCCAAAGATCTTGGTTCCTTTCGATATTGGTGCATATCGGATAGTAACTTCCTGAATTATGGGCCCTGATTGTACGAAAAATCACGTTTTTAGCTTGAGGTCCCTCTAGATGTCACAACTATTATCCAATTTAAAAAAACGTTCAAATATATCACCGTTACACCATAATTTCGGTTGAGTTCGAATTTCGTGAAAATTGGACTTAAAACTGCCGGACAAAATGGCCGCCCCCTCATACACAATTAGTGTAAATATCTGGTATATCAAAGTTGTGGACCCTCTGGAGGTCAAAATTTTGATCTGATTTTGATGAAACTTGAAATGCATGTTTATAACCCAAAGGTCTTGGTTCCTTTCGATATTCAGGTATATCGGATGGCCCCTGATTGTATGAAAGATAGGTTGGCAGGCAACGAAACATACGCCCACAGCAGCTAAATCGTCCGGGCAGTCAAGCAATTGTGGACGCCGGACCGACGGACGGGGGCGACGACAATATACGACCACATTTCAATGTGGGCGGATAAAAATTCTTTGAAAATCAATATATTTGTTCATCTCAAGATCTTAAACTCTGTGTATCAATTGGAAGTCAATTGGATGATAAATTTAGCCTATAGAGCGTCACAAGATTTTTCAAAGTGATCAAGGGCCATACCTTTTGCAGTAATTATTGGAAATCGTTGAAAATCAATAGGATTCTTCGTCGCATGATCTCAAACACTGTGTATAAATTTAAAGTCAATCGGATATTAACTTTAGCCTCTAGAGCTAAATTAATTATGTATTGTTAAATAAACATCTAATTAATTGTTATGGATTAATAATAAAAATATTTAAATATGTGATGTGAAAGTTGGGTTCTATTTACACATAAATAGGAAGCCAGATAAAGAAACAAATAGCCTAGCTATAAATATGAACCATATTTAAAAGATTATCTTGATTGTCTTACATAGTAAATCGCTCCAGCAAAAAAACTCTTCAATATTCCCCCAATTTGTCTCAAATGGAAATTTAAACAATGTCCAAAAATAAAGTTTATGTATAATTTACTGGAAAATTTCATGTTTGTGTACCCACATGGATAATGATAAGATAATCTTATTGTACCGAAAAATCCATTTAGGACAGCATACAATATAAATATGTACATGAATAATGAACAATTTATTAACATTGTTAGCAACAAGACAAACAGATTATAGATAATCACATTTATCTCGAATAGGTCAATGCTCTTAAATATACAAGTGAGCAAACAACAATGAAAAAGTGAGGATGGTTCTTAGTTTAAATGTGTTAAAAATAAAAGCACTGACGGATTTTTTACAGTTTTGCTTGGATTGAACAGAGTTTCAAGTGTATATGGGAAACAACTGTTGGCAAGTGTTGGGTATACGCAAATAGTGCGAAGAGATTTGTAGGCAGGGCATTCTAGTAGGAAATGTAATTCACTTTCAACTTGACAGGGTTGTCTCCCTTATTACCACTTCCGTCATTTTTATTGAACAAGTTCAAAATGTCGATGAATTGTAAAAAAAAACTCGAGTGATTTATGGCAAATAAACTGACTTAGCATTTTTGAAAAAAATGAAATATGTGTTTTTATCGAAAGGAATATATATCGAAAGGAACCGAGTGGTTGATTTGTAAGGCAAGACGATTTTATTCACAATTTTGAGTTAAATAGCGACAGGGGTACCTTACGGAGAAAAAAATGTCAACAGAAAAGTGTCTTACCTTTCTCTTTTATTAGATACATCAGAAGGTATACTTTTTTTTTTGATACGGATATGTTTGATAGTAAATATTATATGATTTAGCACCAAATAGGAAGAAAAATAAAGCAGATTAAAAAATTTGAAAAATATTAAGAAAAAACCCCAGAAAATATTAAGAAAAAATCACATAGGTGCACCATATAAGGGCGTGCCTGTCCCCATGTACCTGTGAGTCTAAGTGAAGACATTGCAATTTTGAAATCTTGTTATGAACATGTAGCAAATAATCAGCAAGAGTCTTAATTTGGGTTTTAAATAATCTATATGATATGTTCTTAATTTGGCACCTTATGTGACATGGAAAATTATAGTTACTGAAGCGACTTTTCGAGAACTGCCTGGTTAAACTCTATATTTATTTGATGTAAATACTTAAAAAACATGCACACACTTATTATTGAAAATCGCATGAGAAGCTCGATACAAACTGCGTAAGTGATCAATCGAACATTTGGAAAACTGTTCTGACTGGATCTATTTTCTTTCTTTTTTTGTAAGCTTTTATTTTGAGGTTCACAATTATTTTCTGATTCAAAATAATCATTGTTTTATTGTTCCTGTTATTCATATTCAATCAAGAGGAAATTTCCTAAAAATGGCTGAATGTTTGCCACATGAATCATATAATATTCTTTTTTTAATTGATGGGATGAAACGACCCTATATTTAGTGGGATGAACAGAAACGACCCTTGAAATTTTGGGATGAAACAGCCAGGGGAGAAACAGTTGTGAGATGAAAAGACCTGCTCCTGGGTATTAGAATCCCATATTTTCACAGAAAAATAACAACATCAATATTGATTGAAATAGACCAATACCGGTATTGAATTTTAATTCACATTTCTTAATTTCGAATATCATGGAGAGTATTGAGTTGGAGCTTTAGCTCCTTTAAAGCCATACAGTCATTTGTGATCCAGATGCTGTTTACAATTTTAAATCAAAGGTGCAGCTTCAAGCTGAAGATTACTAATGCCAATGAATAACGATTGCAAACATAGCAGTATATGCCAAAATGTGCATGACTAAAACCTTTAGAATTATTTTTGTTTTTGCCATCATTTCGACTTACCTTTTCTGGTTTCATCCATTCGCTTAAGTTGTCAATAGCATTTGCAAGATCATTCTTCACCAAAGCAATTTCAAATATAATGGCTTCTATCCTATGCTGTTAAATATTACAAATATAAAACAATGAAATCATTTAAATTTTACCAGCTTCAGAATTCACATAGATTACTATCATTCTGATATTGCATGTATGTTGTTCACAGACATGATAGACATTCACTGATGCACACCCATCTTCCAAATTCAAAGGTAAATAGAACTCTATTAATTGAACTCCTGCATCATATAACGAGTCAATATTAGCTTGTCAGTCTCCACCGCACTAGCCAATGAAAGCCTACAATAAAATAATCACAGTAAACGTTGCACATTAAAAATAGAGTTCCATAAATGGGTATTAAAGTAGACTTATAAGGTGCAACTTTAGGTAAAAAAAAAACAAACAAGAACTAAAAAAATATACCTTAAAGATGCATCATGTAAGATTCAGATAAAGAGCTGACAGTTCTTGCTATAATAGTTCAAAATGAATATATTGAAAATTTCAGTCAGGTTATTGGTTTCTGAATCTGAATGAACTTATCTTGTCTCAAGTACTGATGTTACGATAATAAACAAAGTCTTGTGATTATCCATTTTAAATCAAATTATTAAAAGTGATCGTGTTTTCATCCATTGAAAATCACAACCATCCAATGGACTAGAGAGTTGATTATTGGCTTGTCATGTTTATAAATGTCTAATTAATAATTTATATAACTTTTAAGGTCGAAAGAAAGACCTGTAATAGGCATACTTAGCTCTTACATAATGCATCCTCAAACAATATTTTGAGAATATGGTGTGTCCTAACAGATATCATCACTATATTATATAAAGCTTGTCAAATAATTCTTTCAGACAATAAATCTGGGTTTAATCTTTCTATACAATCCAAACATGGACCATAAATTTTAATGGACTAAGACTAGTTATTGTTTCCCTTGATTTTATGATACACAAACATTGTTTGTCTATTTATAGCAATTCTTTCTTTATCCTCTTTTGCATGGCAATACCTATAGATTCCATTGAAACGATGTAAAAAAATTAAGATGGTCAACCCCCTTCAATACTTTTATAAGAAGATTGTGACATGTTAGGCTTTTTGTGGTTATAAAGATTAAGATTATTAGAATGTTTAAAATAATGTTATTGGCCAAGGAATGCCATGGATTTTAACATAAATCTTTCTTTACACAAAATTTTAATCTTTATTGTCCAACAAAGCCTTAAACTTGAGCATATATCATAAATTTTTAATATATATAATATTCTAGAAGAAACGTTTATACACTGTCCTTAGGCCTGTAGCCAAAAAAAGCAACAATAAAATAAGTACCGTAGTAGTGTGATTGCAAAATTTCTTAATACTTCATCACACCAATGCTATAAAAACATCCTCATTAAAAAGATGACCACCCCATCATAATATATACCTTGTGCAAATCTTTGAAGAGAGCATCTTCTATTTCTTTACTACTTTCTTCTAGTAATTTGTACAATTGTATTAACTGTTCTTTGCGCCATTGATATGTTTTAGTTTTTCCTGTTCTGAACGCTTGTCTTATTTCTCCAATTATCTGTAATAAACGAAGTTGGAAGATATTCTGTTGGCTAAAAAACATTTACTCTCTCAACCACGAGAGATATAATGGAATCAAACCGGTCCATAGCCGATTTTGTTGAAAGTAGCTACTTACACAACAAAGAAACATAACCGAAGGATGACAGGCAACCGAAGGATGACAGGACTACTCGTCCAGATAATTCAACTGACAATTATCTCACCTTGGTCCACAAAAGAGAGACACATACCAGTCACCTCCCACTTTGGATTTCCAAAGGCATTTTAATCCAAATCTTGCTGTTATTTAATCAAACCATTTGGTACTAAACGGTACCTAATTATATTAACCCCTGCGGGCGCCATATTGAATTACACTGTATTAATTGTTCAAAAACCTTACTACATCATGAACGATAAATCTAAACTTGGGCACACTAACCCTTGTTTACTTTGCTATATCTGTAATAAACAAGAAATACTTTGAAAGGATTTGAAATGTGATTTAAAGTCCCACTTTTCTGCAAAAACTGGGATAATAAGCAGTGTTTCTACTAAATCTTCATTGAATTCCATCAGTAAGTGGATCTTTTACATACACAGAAACATGTACACAGGTGGTCCTCAGTTTTCTGTACTATCCAAATGATTAGAAGCGGTTATTTGTCATACTTTCCATCCTGCACAACTAACAATAGGAAACCAAGAAGGAAAGTTCTCTGCCAACACTGGAATCAAACCAGGAACCTCCAGGAAAGTGAGTCACTGTGACCCCATACATAAATCAATGTATATATACAGCAATTATATATAACTGTATACATATATGTATTATGCAGCTATCTATTTACAATAATCTGACATACATAATTGGCTTATTTCATTATTGAAAAATGAGCCTGTATCAACTCATGTATAAACAAGCCAACAGTGAGGCTGATGTCCCCCGCCGAAATAGGAAAATAATTAGAGGACACATATAAATTTATCACAAATTATCTTTTACAAAGTATTGAACAATCAAACAGTATATCTTTACTTATAGTCTAAGCATACAATGTTTTTGATGGAATAATTATAGCATATTAAGGGGAAAACATGCTCTATGCCTACAGATCTAGAGTTTGGTTGTATCAACGGGTCTATTTTCCATCTTGCTGCAAGTTGTGCAAAGTTCACTGTTTTCTTTCTGTCATTAAATGTCAATTCATTATTGCATACTACATATTTAATTAATTTATAATAGTTTCTTTTTCAATTTGTTTTTTCCATTTATTTGTTTATTTACCTTGCCTATATTCATTGTATTGGATTGTATTGGAATTGCTAAATTGATGCTTTTATCAATACCTGGTTATAATAATTTTGAACATTTTAACTCAATTCGAAGGAGTGTGACGGACAGACAGACAAACAGACGACGGACGAACCCATTTTAATAGTCCCCTGCTTTCTTCGAAAGGCGGGGGACAATAAGCATACACACCAATTTTGAACATTTTAACTCAATTCGAAGGAGAGTTATTGTGTTCCAAAGTCTCAGCAAATCAAATTGCTTATCGCTCTGCTTAATCTGAGCAGAAAATGCTCATTATCGATCTTAGTCAAGGTATTACTGTAATGAAACTATACACCAAGTTTCATCACTCTCACTTAATTAGAACTAAAGTTATAGTGTCCCAAAGCATCAACCAATCGAATTGTTTATCTACTTAATTAGAACTAAAGTTATAGTGTCCCAAAGCATCAACCAATCAAATTTTTTATCTCTGCTTACCCTAAGCGGAACGGACAGACAAACAGACAGACGGACGAACCCATTTTAATAGTTCCCTGCTTTCTTCGAAAGGCGGGGGACAATAAGCATGAACATTTACTCAATTCGAAGATCAACCAATCAAATTGTTTATCTCTGCTTACCATAAGCGGAACGGACAGACAGACAAACAGACAGACGGACGAACCCATTTTAATAGTTCCCTGCTTTCTTCGAAAGGCGGGGGACAATCAAAGTATGAGAGTTATTGTTTTCCAAAGTCTCGACCAATCAAATTGCGTATCGCTCTGCTTACCCTGAGCAGAAAATGCTCATTATCAAACTTAGTCAAGGTATTACTGTAATGAAACTATACACCAAGTTTCATCAATCTCACTTAATTAGAACTAAAGTTATCGTGTCCCAAAGCATCAACCAATCAAATTGCTTATCTCTGCTTACCCTAAGCGGAAAATGCTCATCTTCGAACTCCATCAAGACATTGACCTAATTAACACATACACCAAGTTTGAACATTCTAGCTCAATTAGGAAGAGAGTTATCGTGCCCCAAAGTATCAACCAATCAAATTGCTTATCTCTGCTTACCCTAAGCGGAAAATGCTCATCTTCGAACTCCATCAAGGCATTGACCTAATAAACACATACACCAAGTTTGAACATTCTAGCTCAATTAAAAGTTATCGTGTCCCAAAGCATCAACCAATCAAATTGCTTATCTCTGCTTACCCTAAGCGGAAAATGCTCATCTTCGAACTCCATCAAGGCATTGACCTAATCAACACATACACCAAGTTTGAACATTCTAGCCCAATTAGGAAGAGAGTTATCGTGTCCCAAAGCATCAACCAATCAAATTGCTTATCTCTGCTTACCCTAAGCGGAAAATGCTCATCTTCGAACTCCATCAAGGCATTGACCTAATAAACACATACACCAAGTTTGAACATTCTAGCTCAATTAGGAAGAGAGTTATTGTGTCCCAAAAAGTGTGACGGACAGACAGACGGACGGACAGACAGACAGACAGACAGACAGACAGACAGACAGACAGACAGACAGACAGACAGACGGACGGACGAACCCATTTTAATAGTCCCCTGCTTTCTTCGAAAGGCGGGGGACAATTAAATCTTATAAATACAGTTTACACCTATAAACAGAAAGAATGTGTAAGATGTACAATCTCAGAAAAAAAATATTTGTTAGTTTATTGCTCCATTCCTAATTGGTCTGGCCCCTACTAAACTATACAAGAGTTATGTCCCTTCCCTACAGCTATCCGTTACGGCAGTCATAATTAACATGTAATTTTAACCAAAACTGAATTATTTTGCTCAGGAACATTAAAAAATAATAAATCAATCGCGGTAGTAATAATGTGATACCAGTTGAAATGTTGGTGGGTTTTTGTAGATTCTGGTCTGGTGTTTTGAGGTTAACGTGCTGCCGTTATGACGTGTGTTCATAATAATATTACAAATAAAGTAAAAGAAGTCACCCTGGAACTGAATATAAATAAAATAAATTGATTTGATGAATTCTGATCCTTCAAAAATATATTTCAAATACCAGGAATGCCTAACACCTATCCCGAATAATTCACGGATATTTTATACTTCGACTAGAAGGGAATCGAAACCCATTGCCATCATTGAGATATGACTATTGAAAGTGAAAGTAAAACATTTCGCAGGCGCAATTTATGACAAATATTTCCTGTCGTAGGTGTCATTGTTTTAATGTTGACATAAAATACAAAGAAACAATTTACCTTGGAATAATCTGCCATTTCTATAGTGATATTCTTCGTATATCCCTATTTCTACACTGCCGACTCGATCGTTTAACAGATACAATAACCATGAACTTTGCTCGGAGTCTGAGCTGACTGTTTCCTCCGGGTTCAAAGGTCAAAAGATCTCAGCAATGTTTTAAGCTCACAGAGTAAATCTATGCTTAAGCCGCAACTTTCGTATTTTTGAAGTCCTTACACCTTTGAATTCAAATTCACAGGCGTGCAATAAAACAAAAATGATATAATATTTCGGGGGAAATGTCCTTTTTTGATTTCTAGTCGACAAAATAAAGTGCCCGAAATCAGATTACATTTTGGCCGTCTAGCCTAGCCCCTTGCTTTGTCACTTGTGTCACAGTTTTTGGACATGGATCTATATATCTGTTTATCAGCTTTTGCATTGATCATTATTTGTATATGAATTTTTCTGGAATCGAAATTTCTAACCGATTAAAATTTAAAATCAGTTTAATAAAACAGTGTCTAGCACTAATCTGGAGAATAAGTAGCCTACTATTTTTTTTCGGGCATCATCATTATTTTTGTTTCATTAGTTTTTCGGGAAGAGAAATTTTATTGTCCAGTGAATGCAGCTACAGCAGTCTGATCGATTGTCTGATTGTAATTCAGGTTGACAATGTGTGGGACTTCGGTTGCAAAACCATATAAATAAGGCTACATTGGACCACGGTCAAGCAATTGCTTTACTTACGGGTAGGAAAACAAGTTTGCAGCCGCCTAATTTTGAAAAAAAAGTTTCCAGGCGACCATTTAATTTCAGCCCATTTCAATTCATTCCGGAAATTAGGTGCTGTTTAGCTTGGCAGGGAATTGCGTTCATTTTATTTTTGCCACCCCAATTAAATAAGGTTCTATTGTGGAATGGCACCCCCCACCCCCTTATCACCGTGTTTCTTACCATCGGCACTCGATGATGATCGGAACATTTTTCGGGTATAGGCCTGCGGCCACAATGTCTAGCGTGAAGTTCCGCTACAAGGTCCTCCCTACTAAACAAACTATACACTTTTGAAAACTTTTGGAAAGCTTTTAACACTAGGAACACAAATCCAGAGAGTTCCAAGCAAAATGTTTTCATTAACTAGATTTAGGGCCAGATGAAAATTGTGATAATTGTCAAGTAAATGCTATATTTATACTTATACTAACAATTGTGAAGTTGACATAAAATTAAATATTGGCGAAAACACCCAATGCCTTCATCGACCTAAGCAAAGAATATGCTATTGGTTAAATTTCGATTTAAAGCAAAATGCAGAAAACACAATGGACAAGGGAACATGCAGAGTTTTGGGAGGACCTTGTAGCGGAACTTCATGCTAGAAATTTTGGCTGCTGCAGGCCTATAAATGAAATGAAATGAAATGGGGTTTGACATCCTACGTCTGTTGTGCTCCAAACTGGGCTAATGAAGACGGGCATACGCCATACAGTGTGCAATGAGGGAAATTTTGTTCGGACAGCGGCACTACTGCCTACTCTTATATCAAATTCCATCTGTCAAGGAATATTTTACGTGCACGCCAATGTGTACACAGGATCTCGGTTTTCCGTACCATCCAAACAACTAGACAGTTGTCCTAAGGGGGGGGGGGGGACCACGCCAGAAAATCTGGATGAACTTTCTCGGCCAATGCTGCAGCTGGGATCTAACACATATACCTGACACCTATAAATGAAACTAAATTTCAAACTGATTTTAGGGTTAGAAGCAAGTATTTTGTACGCTGCATGTGGAATATAAGTGGCCTCTCCTGAATAGTTTTTAATGGTTCAAAGCTATTACCATAAAACGATTTTCACCGCCTCATACTCGATCCGCTCGGCCACCAGATAATTTGCCCGTTTATCATCGGTCATAAAAATGAATTGTCATCCGCGTTTGTACTAATTAACGTTGAGATATGTTGGAATAACTAAGTCTTATATATGCCTGCATGTTTTGGATTACTAATTTTTCTAAACATATAAACGCTCCGAATGTGATGTATTGAAAATCTCGCTATAGATACGATTAAACACTAATAATTCTGTATTTACAACATTTATATATATAGCCCAATCCTAACCGCCCATTGGATACTAAAAATAGGACGAAACCCGAAAGGAATGGAATCTGCACCATTTCTGGATTCAAAAACATTTGGGCATGCGCTGCTGGTTAATTGTGTCTGTTTATATTGGGATAAATAACATAATTAATTAAAATCGTTTTCAAATAAAAGCCCCTAATTCACATATCAAGCTATGATTGGAGAGCATACTTGGGGTTCTTGGAGCTAAGATAAAGTTTCCGTTCGTTTCGCAAAAGCTATCCTCGATGCAATATATACAGCCCTGACATGGGTGTGCTCCGTGCGCAATGAGGTCACTCAGACAAGAGTTTCACAAACGGTATTGACACTAAACGACATCGGCCATTTAGGCCCAACTTGTTTATGTATGTTTCAACGGTTAAATTGTGAAAGGAAAGAGTATTTGGCGCAGGAATCCGTTCGATTAATTAGTATTTAATCCAGATGACAGAGTATAAACTGGTGGTTGTTGGAGGTAAGAATGAAACCAGCAAAGAGATGGCGTCATTGAGAATACACTGACACTGACTTTGTAATACTAATATTGCTCAGACTGGTGTGTTCGTCTCTTCAATTGGTGGCACATAATAAATCGGTTCTTTTTCAATACATCTGTCGTTACTCCTTTTAACGTTAGAGGACAAATAGGAAGTCTTATTATAGTTTATATGATTTCATATCTACCAGATTCCTGTCAAAGTTACAACTATGTTGTGTGTATGGAGTAATGCAGCAGTGAATATTGTTGCCACTTGTATAAAGTGATTTAATCAATACCGGTACCTTTATCACACTTCTTTAATTATATTTCCCTTATTCATCAAATATGTTATCATTAGGACACATAATTGCCCAAATATTAAACATACAATCATAGTAATTATGTAAAGTAGTAAGATTTATCAAATGCTAATTATATCATTCTGAACTCCAACTGACTGAATCGGGACGAAAAGGGAGTTACCCCCAAATTTCCATTGGGATAAAGGTCGCTTCGTATGTAATATATTTGTTTAAATGAGCTCACCCCCAAGGAAGTTTATATATTTTGATGGTATCAATGGTCGAGTCATCAGGAAAGCATGTTAAGTATTAACATATTTTATTAATCTGATATAGATAATATAAATTGCATACATGTTGGAAAAGTAATGTATTGGTTAATAAGTAAAAGGGTAACTCCACCTATAAGGAAAAGTAGGCTTAAATTTTCAATTTAACAGTTTTGTTCAACACCCAAATATTATTATATATACGTTTGCATGTTTGATTGTCAAGCTGGGTGTCGAGACACTCTGTTCCTTTGTATTTCCATCCTACCCAGTTGTAAATATGTACAACCAGGGTGGTTTATGTATTCAAACAAACAACTATGTGCATACTACTACTATCAAAGCACATGTTGAAGTGATATAAAGCTAAGAGGTAAAGGGAATTAATCAGGCTTTACCTATCTGTATCTAGAAACTGGACCAGTAATGTTCAGCATTCAGATCACATTGATATGTTGACCTTTACATATTACAGTTAATTAGACATATTATTTACTTTAATGCAGCTTTTAATAACAAAGAATAGCGATGGAACATCCCAATCAACGCTTGTTACAAATGAATGTATTTTATCAATTAAAGGGACATAATAATGTCAATTTCCTTGGTTATTTCTATTCTATTCTAATCTGATCTTATTTATGAAACGGTTTTGCTGCATCATATCCATGAAAGCAAAAAAAAAAAAAAACAACAGTAATATTATACATATTCCGATATCTTAAATCCTTTAAAAATAAATTTGCCTGTAATTGTCATATTAACATATTTTAGACTGAATCTGGCAGAGTATGCTTAGTGTTATTATATAATAATCATGAAATGCAGATGAACATATCAGCGTGCAAAATATAATATTCAGCTGATCCACGTGTGATATAATTTTATAATTATTATAGATAATATTTATATTAATACGACAAGCTGAATGTTTGTAATGTTTATTCAAAGATAAAGTAGAATTATCTATACACTATATCTAGTCTGTTATTATGGAAGTAAAAATATATATAAACAGTAAATTCATTAATTGGGTAAATTTGTTTAAATTATTCTGTTTAAAGCATTTCTTAATATTATAATTGTTTTCTATTTCAGCTGGTGGTGTAGGTAAAAGTGCCTTAACCATTCAGCTTATCCAAAATCAGTAAGTTTTCTTTTACTCTTATCTTAGAATACAGTACTAAGTATAGCAGAAGGTAAACTGTACAGGCCCAATTCTGGTCGGGATTGTAATATTCTGGTTAGTATACGTACAATGTACATTTATTGTAGGCCTGGAGTTCTTTTTAGTTTTAAGGCAAGAGTGGGCGGTGCAACACCCGGGTCAGTGTGTTGAAAACAGACTTGAATATTTTTAAAATTTATCAGTTCTGTTTTAATTACAAGTCGATAGTTTAAAGGTCGTAGCATGGAGGAATAAAATTGAAATTAGAACCTTGTTTTTGTGCAATGTTTTAATTACAAGTTGATAGTTTACAGTTTCTAGCATGAAGAAATAAAAATGTTTTTGTGTACTGTTGTGAACAATTAATGTCTCGGTTTTGAATCCTGACTTGGATGAGAAGACGTATTGTGATCTTTCGACCCCTGTTCTCACTTGTCAATGGTGGGGCCGACAAAGTGGGCCTAGTCATTTGGATGGTACAATAAATCCAGATTCACCTGTGTACAAATTGTTGTTGACATCAGGGATGTCTTGGCTGTTGGATTTATGTAAATGGACAACAAAATGATCAAATGAATGTTTTTCAACTAAGGACTGCCAACTTCTTTTTCCATCCTTTGATCGCAAAGTCTGCAGTACGTTTAAGCCTCACTGTTCTTGCAACTGCTAGTCATTTGATCAACAAAACCAAGTGATCCCAACATCATTTAAGCAGACAGACTGTCCTTTACTGCTTCTTTTATATTTTTCGTCGTGTGCTCGTCTCATAGGTGTTTTTCAGGGAATCCATTATTTTTCTAGTAAGATTGGGTGTCTCTACTTTTCATATACATGGTTACCAACATTGCCATACTTTTATTGGAAATAACTACCTTATAAATATTCTATTTATTTGCATTTTCTTATTTCAGTTTTGTAGAAGAATATGACCCAACCATAGGTAAGTTGTTCAAAGTATTGATTCTGATTACTAGTAACTGTTAACTTCCATTTTAAGAATTTTCTCTAACTTTTCTTGCTAAGAATAATCAACAGGTTAAAGATCATGTAACATCCTATGAATTAACATTATACATGTAGGTATTCTCAAAGAACATTGTGATACCATATTTAAAGATACATTATGTAAGATTTAGATAAAGGGCTGTCTGTTCTTGCTATAATAGTTCAAAAAGACATGTAGATAATGAAAAATGAATAGATGTATATTGATAATTTTAGTCAGATTACTTATTCTTAGCAAAGTTATGAATGGCTAATTTTATCGGGTTTCTGACAGTGGATGCAATTCAATTTGTATTACTTTAAATCCAATTTAGTCTTTTAATATATAAGAATACAAAGCTGTGTATTACTCTAGTGTGAAGCATTCTATCAGCAGTCTCCATATCTGGCAGATGTTGTTTTATCATCTTAAAATCTAAGCTGGCCCAGAGATTTGGATATGGGCTTGTTCCAGACGACACTACAACTCAAAAATTGCTTGCTATCTCTTCAATTAGTAATTAAAATGGTTAAAAATTAACGACCTGCCTGGAATTGTCATCCCTTTGCTTTCTACCATGTGGGAACTAATTTCAGATCAAGTTACATGTATATAACCTTTCTCCCTTGAATAATCGTGGTTTATTTACTTTAGCGGTACTGAAGATGCCATGTTTTGTCTAGTTTTTTGGAACAGTCCAAATGGATAATGTTTGTGGGTTCGGCTTGGAGTCATTTCGTCCTACATGCATGTTAAGATACATGTAGTTATTTCGGCCCAGTAGAATAGAACTTGTTTAAAAAGCTATTTACGGGAGGTAATAGTTTGCCATTTGGTTCCAGACCACAGTTGTTTGTTCCACTGACTCAATCTGATTAAAACACAGATCCTATTTTGTTTTGTTTTTATAGTTCAAAATTTCGTTTTACTTGTCTTTACTACACTAGGATCTGGAAGAGTTGTTATATAACCTGCGTTCTGGATGATGTGAGGGATTGGCCAATGAAACAGTCTGTTATGGCGAGTTTTTGGCGTGAGGCGCATGGAACTGTGGGTAACCCACTAGAAATATCAAGGCTGATTGGTTAATCAAATGTCTGACGTCATAGGGTCAAAAGCCTTGTATGACCTGTGACGCGACCTTTCACTACAACCAGTCAGATCTTCATGTAGTAGAGATCATCAAAAGTATAAAAAAACGAAACGAAATATAGATCTGTATTTTAATCAGATTTGCACTGACATGAATATTAAATTGGCGTCAATCCAATGCCTGTAACTTTTAGATATTGATATAAACTAAAATTGGCAGTATACTTGATTACGTTGATATCAGTGATGATCATTAGTAAAACATTAATTTCTTACACTAATAGTAAGTGCAGGAGGACTGCACTAAATGGAAAACAAAAATCTACAAGATAAACCTGCGGACAAGACAGAATATAGACATTGCAAAAAATAAACAAATTTCAAATCAAGTGAATGGATCCGGGGGACGTAAAAGTAATAATGCGACCGATCTTGACAGTCATCGTCTCTTCAATGGCGATAGTCTGCCAGTTGACTTTATGAGACAGAACATCAAACAATAAGGTCAGTAATCAGGATAGAATCTTGGAAAACGCTAAAATAAACTTATAAGATGTCCCTATGGGCCCCTTTTTACGCTTTGCGGGTAGTGTGCAATGCCGAAAATTGGCATGAAATTTTATAGAGGGGAAGGGGTCCAAAACATGTGGTTCGAAATTGGTCTTGATGATCATATTATAGATTAGAAAAACTTTAATTTCTATCAATATGTATCTCTAACATAGTCTATGTAGCTTAATAATAAAGCTCATTGTATACGCCCACATTTACGTTAGCGTATATTGTCGTCGCCCCTGTATTTTCGTCCACAATATGTTTGCGGTATGTAATACCAAGGTTGTGGGCCCTCTAGATATCACAATTTTTATCCGATTTTGATGAGGCTTAAAATATATGTCTATATCCCAAAGGCCAGGGTTTCTTTTAATACTTGCGTGTATCGGACCCCAAATTTCTGGACTATGGCCCCTGATTGTACGAAAAATCGCTGCTTTTGTTAGCTTGTTCTCTTTCCACCTCTAGCAAAATGTGGGCGTATCTTGTTATACAAAATGTACACTTTATCTGAAAGGTTAACATGGCATCTAATGCTGAAAATAAGTGAAGCATATTGTGAGGAACACTTTGAGAGACATGCAATACTCTGAATTTTATTAAGGAATATTAAAGTACTGGTAACCAAATTAAAAAAAAAACACACAAAATTTTTTATATTGTAACAATAAAGGTATTTATTGTCATTGAGTCAACTGGCGTGGTTTCAAATCCCCGGTTGTATGTGACAAGGAGTAGGGTTGCCTGTCCAACCTCGTGGGTTTTTTCCTGGTCCTCCGGTTTCCTCCCACTGTTAAAGACCCCTATTAAAATAAAATTAAACCTTATGTTAGTCCCGAAATGACCTAGTTTGTGTCTAGTGGACATTAAATCCCATTAAATATTCAGAAAAAATACAAAACTGCGGAAATGCACTGCTGTTTTTATTAGAGGTAACCAGTGTATGTTAATAACAGGCCAATTGCCTACACATGAACATAAAGAGTTCATATGGGCGTCTTATCTGATGGCTCCATTTCACTCGCAAAGAGAAACAATGTCAAAAGTGAAAATGGACGTTTTTGATTTTTGTCCTAATAATGAGTAATTGCTCCACCAATCCTCAGACATTCAGCAATTCGTTGTGGCATGCTCCTAATCAACCGTCCAATCACGATTTGGGGCAATTTGACCCACTCCTCTTGCAGTGCCACGGCCAATTCTTGCAGTGATGTCGGTTGACGTCGACAAACACGTCTCCCGATTATGTCCCGGACATGCTCTATAGGGGAAAGGTCAGGACTCATGACGCTCATATATACATGTACGCCTCCAAACGCGAGCACGCCTATCGGTGAAATACAGAGTAAATCTGGACTCATCTGAGAACATTACACGCGCCCATCGATGATAACCCCAATTTCTACGCTGCCTACACCATTGACGCCTGTTTGCCATGAGCTGGCGAGTTAATGGAGGCACAACCTGCAGTCGTCGCGCATGCAAATGGGCTGCATGTAGCCGATTTCTAATCAGTTTGAGTGTAACTCAAATTCCTGTAACTTGGTACAAGTTTACAGAGAGCTGATTGGCCGTTTGTCCTCCTTTTCACAGGACCTGTGTACGAATGTATCGATCCAGGGCTTGTGTAGTGGCTCCAGGATGAGCTGAACGAGGTCAATCATCAGCATTGTGTGTTTGTTGGTACCAGTTCCGAAGTCTGCTGATCACAAACTGTGACACATTAAGCATGTTGGCTACTGCTCGCTGTGTAGAACCCATTTGAAGCATACCAATAGCACGTAGATGTTCATCATGTTGAAGACGTCTCATTGCAAATTGAAGAAATGGTCGTAGTGTCGTCTGAAACAGACAGTAAATAATTTATTTAACATTTTAGACCCCAAAAATGCCTTGCAATAGGCGAATTGAGATCTCACATAATGCCCCTTACCTTATTCTATAAGTTGTAAAAGTTACTTGTTTTCTGCTGACCAATATGTTATCAAGCAGAGAGAGGCCTTTAGTATATTTATAGATATTCAAGGTGATTACCACAAACTGTGCTCACATGGATAGTGATTATATTTTTGTAGTCAAATAATCAGGATATTGACAAAAAAGGTCATAATTTAGGTGTTCGGATGGGACGAAAAACCGAGGTCCCGTGTACACATTGGCGTGCACGTAAAAGATCCCTTGGCAGTTGGAATTCAATATAAGAGTAGGCCGTAGCGCCGCTGTCCGGGCAAAATTTCCCTCATAGCACACTGTATGGCCAGGGGCGTAAATGTGTGTCGCAAAATCAGTGCAGTCGGTTGCAAAATAAGAGCAGTCGCAAAATCAGTGCAGTCGGTCGCAAAATAAGAGCTGACTGCACACGTCTCGCCGCTACTCACGCAAAACTTTAGTATAAAATAACCTTGTCAACTTAATGTGTTTCACTCTTATTCTGTTGTGAGTATGTAGGTCTAAGAACAAAATTTCCCCCAGGGAGAAAAATAGTCGGTCTCAAAATAAGTGCAGTCACTGCAGTCGGTCTCAAAATTATGCATCGCCGTGTTAATAAATTAATGAGGTAAACAAATAATGCCAGAATAGATCCCAAATACTAGTCGGTCGCAAAATCAGTGCAGTCGGTCGTAAGATATGAGCAGTCGGTATCAAAATAAATGCTCACTGCACACATCACTCTACTCACACAAAACTTTAGTATAAAATAACCTTGTCGACTTATCATGTTTGAAAAAAAATGTTTTTCACCCCATGGCAAAAAAATAGTCGGTCTCAAAAAAAAAGTGCTCACCGCAGTCGGTCGCAGACTAAATGAATTAATGGGGTGTTTTCTGACCATCAGAATTCTGCAAAATCTCTCCCCAAAGTCCAGGGCATTTCAGAGACCAAGTAAGCGCCCCATTGAGGTAAAGTGCCCTCAGGCCCAGTCCTCAAAAATTAAAAGCTCATTTACATATCGGCGCTCAATTCCATTATGCCATCATTCTTCAACTCCTTCTCTGACTTTTACTATCTCATCACTATCATATTCACAGTTACAGTGAATCGCCCAGTTAGTAGTACCACTAGTGAGTGAGTCGTGGGTCAAAAGACTGTAGAATTGTTAGTTCTACTCTCACAAAACAGGCGACATTGACAGATAGGCCTCAAGATTCTGTCCCATTTCTTATCCTCTCGTTAACGAGAATTTGGATCCATTTGCCATGACATTGACTAAAATTGTCAGGCCCAGTCCCAAAAATTAAAAGCTTGGTTACACATCTCAAATTTGTTCACGCCTGCGGCGCTCGATTCCATTATAACATCATTCTTCCACTCCTCTGTTGTCTTATACTGTCTCAGCACTATCATATTCACGGTTATACTGAACTGCCTAGTTATGTTAGTAGTACCACTGGCACTGGTGTGTGGGTCGTGGGGCGTCAGACTATACAAAAGTTCTGTCAACTCTTGCAAAACAGGCGGAATTGACAGGGGGTAGATCTCGAGATTTTGTCTAATTGACTCACATTTCTGGCTCCCTCGTCCACAAGAATTTCTCCCAGCAATGACCTCAAATGCTAAGATATTGACTCAATTTTTCAAAATTTTCTCAGGTTGCTCAGTGTTATAGGCACAATCATATATGACATAAACTTTATGTCAACTTAAATAAAACTGCTTTCCAGCGAGACAACGATCGGCAAACAACTATATAATTATACAATACCATCTATGTTCTACCGGGACGCTTAATGTTATAGCCAGTATTTTGTGGGGTGGGATTGTGGCTGAGGTCGCGCCCTAGATTTGGAACCCCCCCCCCTACCGCTATCTAGATCCGCTACTTCACATGGCCCCTACAAAACTCGCACCTGTGGTGCTCGGTTCCTGACTGTGTCACTCGTACTAGGGGTATGGGCATCAGTCGGTCGCATTTGCGCTAAACACCCCCCCAAACAAAATCTTTATGTACGCCCCTGTGTATGCCGTATGCCCGTCTTCATTAGCCCAGGTTAGGAGCAGAACAGGAGGACGTTAAACTCCATTTCATTTCATAATTTAGGTAATTAAATACCCCCCCCCTCCCATCCTCCAAAAAAAAGAAAAAGAAAGACAGCAAAAATACATAAAGCAGAAAAAATGGTTTAGTGGAATTTACAGTGATGAAGGGTTTCGCTCATGCACACAAAATGATAAACAGTTTTGGCTTTGTGTGATAGTTAAAACATGTCCATTTCAGAATTATCGAATTGTAAATGTTTGTTGAATAATTGGGAGAAATTTACATGACAAGTTTGACAATGTAATTTCTAGCGCTGGCACGATATATCGTTGAATCAAGATATCGTGATTCACCTTTTCACTATTCACATATTGAATCGCGAGTCTCTGAATCGATTCTTTTTACATGGATTCTATCAAGTAAAAGATTTACCCAAATTCAATGCTCTAAATTTAATATAAAGGCCAATAACTGCCATTGAGAAATGTGTATCCATAATAAATTGAATATCAAAACATGACTCCACAACTGTACATAGCACAGTTCTATTATTAACCTTGTATAGAAAGATGCCCCCTGGAATTCCTTGGTCCCATCCCAACTATATTTAGGTTGATTACTTTCAATCATTTTCAGCATGTTTTCATGATACAAGAATCACTGCGCATTCACTTTCATTGCAAATGACCTCATTTGACCTTTCACCCCGAATATCTCGAAAACGCCCCAACGACAGACTGATTACCACTCGGAATCGTATTCTACGCAAAACTTTACTCTAGAAAAGTTTGGTCTGGTTTTGTGCCCATTTGATGGACCCACCCTCACCCACACTGAGCAGCCAGACTACAGTGAATTATACATAAAACTTTATTTTTGGACAAGATTTTGAATTATATAAGTGATTAAATACACAATACTATGAGCCATGGACATTTCAATTTGAGTCACAATATATACCGCTGTGCCACTGTGATATAGAATTGGGTCACCTAAATATGACTGGGGGATTGGGAGGGGGGGGGGGGGTACTTGTCTAATTCATTTAGATATGTACAATGTATGTGTAATGCATCATAGTGCTATTATCTAGTCTCAAACAAATTTGAGCTCAGTGTAAACAATGTAAATTGCAGCTTTTCGAAGTATTTATTTTTAGTTAATTGTTGCAGCACAACAATTTTGGAAAGAAAATAAATAAATATTTGTGACATGATATGTGAGTATTGTGGTCTGATCATTAAATAAAATTTAGTCCACCTGTCGCAAGCAACATATGTAGTTTTACTTAATGCCTGTCAGACATAAGTAGACAAACGAACATTTCAAGCCCTGGGCAGTAATTGCAATTTGTGACTCCAATAAAAATATCAATTATGCATTTGGTAAATATTGACCTGGTTACGAATCGTGAAACAAATCTTATCGTAGTACCTGAATCACAATTTACGTATGGTATCATGACTGCAGTCACAATACCCAGCACTAGTAATTTCCAAAATACCAAAGTAATGGATAATGATATATATACATGTATTTGAAATTTTTAAAAGATATTAGAGATACATACCCATAAATTGGAATCATGAGCCAAAGTACATTTCAAGCACATTAAACTGTAGCTACCAAAAGATCGTGAAGAAAAGTTATATCTCTTTTAAATTAGTTGTACATGTAGTCTGGGTTGACAATACTGAATCTAATGAATCTTCCTCTGAAAAAAAATTCTGATAAAAGAAGAAATTTACTGTTGTCTTTAAATGGCTATAGACTCTCGTTTTAAAACTTTAAACTAGAGGCTGTCACATTTTTATGTGTACAACAGTTTGGTAGAGATACTTTTTGCTGCAGTCAGTACTCAGTACCATACATAAATTTGAATTACATTTTGTAACTCTGTGTAGAGGGAGGAAGTACCTATTACTCAACAACTGCATTTGTTAATTTCCAGGTATAATTTATTCTAGATTTTAACCATATTGGTGAACATGGAAGATTCAAGTCATTTTCATGTTAATATATTATTTGATTATTAAATGTCATGAAGTTTGAAATACTATTTATAAAACAAGTAATTATTGATGATATTTACTGGTGTATATTGATTGTTACAGAGGATTCGTACAGAAAACAGGTTGTGATAGATGGTGAAACATGCTTATTAGATATATTAGATACAGCTGGTCAAGAAGAATATAGGTACCGTATTGAAAATTTTCTTCATTTAATGATCTTTTTTGTTTACAGAGGATTCGTACAGAAAACAGGTTGTGATAGATGGTGAAACGTGTTTATTAGATATATTAGATACAGCTGGTCAAGAAGAATACAGGTAGAAATTTGTGTAGCTGTAATGAGGGTTGATAGAAGAGAAATAACTGTGTGTGTGGTTGGGGGAATGCTGCTCTTTTGTGCTTGTTAAAATTAAAACTGAATCTCATAATTAAGAACACTGTCACTGGCCTGACCTTTTCAGTTATCTGTATTGAGGTCAATGCTCACGCTGTCAATCGCCATTTACGCCAACCACAATAAAATATAATTTTGTCGATTAAATTTTAACCCAAAACTTTTTCCTTGTGCTAATATTTTATTTCGCATAAAGATTCCTAAGCTTTCTTACACATGCTCAAGTCAATTATCACTCCTTTAATTATTAATAATATTGTTATCTGTTGTCTATTAATCATTCGGAGATTAGTGTTGATTTGAATTTATAGTAGGAGCAGTGCCAGTAATAGACTAATTAAGATACAAAACATTTCATGATATGATCTTCAGATGGAAAACCACAGCTTTTTGATAGGTTCTACATTAAATCAAATTGGTGGATATGAACGATACCTGTTCTCTTATTTGGGATTATTTAAGCAACATAAATATCTATCTTTGTAATCAATATCTTTCTGAAACTATCTTATCTCCAAACTGTCTAGAAGAAACTTTAGATACTTACCACTATCTTTTCATATGACCGAATATTTAGAAATATTACTATAGAGACAAATTTAATCATAAAAATATTACTTTGGAACTTATTCTTTTCATCTACTAGACTTAACTAATGATCAAACTATTGTTAAACACATTCATAAATAATGATCAAAATATTGAAATTATGAAATATATTCATTAAACTTATTAACAGGTAACCGACTTTAACGTCTTGATGGAAGTTGCATTGTAATACATTACATTATGTTTTCTCCCTAATTCAATATTCTATATAGAAACTGTCAAACACCATGATTAAGGACCGGTTATTGTAGAATATAATTTTAAACAGTGCCATCCGTTAGTTACCATAACCCTTAATTGCTTGGTACTGGTACGTGTAAATATTGACTACTCCAGTTCCTTGAAGAAAATTAGAGAAAGGTGATATATTGATACCGGTACATCCCCTAGACCACCTCAAACTGTTGAAGATACGTGAAAAGCTTTTGTATTATAGGACCATTTTGTGTGCACGTTTGGGAAGTCTTAGGACTACTATTTACATATTATGTAAATAACCAATTTACATGTATTGCTAGGTTAAGAGAAAGAATTATGTCGTAAATTCTGTTCCATAACATTACTTTATCAACTGCTGTTGAATTAAATCTTTTGGCATGCTTCAATCTGCTGATCATATATTGGACCATGGCTTAGCTAAATTTTACTTTTGGCATGCTTCACAATCTGCAGACCATGTTTTTGATCATGGCTTGATTCAAGTGGATACTTATTTAAAAAGACCCTGAAGAACAGAAAATCAAATGGTGTTGGCCTTACTTGTAAAATTTAAAAAAAAAAGTATGCCTGACGTATCAATCACAGCTGTTATCAAACCGTCTGGTTGGTTCCATTTTATCAAATGACTATGAAACGTCTGAGTTGTAATAATATATACGTAGAAATCAAATTATGTATAATATAATCAATATATAATCAAATTCTGCTATTACATACTGACATTTTAGTATACAAACTTTTACTTTCAATAGATAAATATTTATTACGGTACATAAAACTCTTTTCGAACAGCTTGTAAATTACACGTATACATAATTATAACATGATCAGGCCCGTAACTGTACGTTACGGCCCTGAACATGATATCTGAATGAAATGAAAAATACATAAATGGTAGATGATATTAACAGTAAGAAAGAATAAAGTTGGAGAAAACATAACACATATCACTTTCTTCAATAAAGAATTGTATATCAGAGCATAGGTGTGACCATCTTCAATAGAAGGCTTGATCTTGCTTTTTTAACTCCATACATCTTATCAAGTCCTTCACGTAATACCCTGCATATTTCATCACTAACCTAGCTTGGGGCCTCTCAGATTCATTGATAGAAAATGTCATCGCGAATGCCAAGCCTCACGCTTTCCAGCTAAAAAGTCTGTATTTCATAATCGAGTTGCAAAGTTCAAGGTTCGTTCAATGTCATGGTTTCCGTGGAGGTTGTCATGTTTGATTTGAGTGTGTTTGTGTCGCAACCTCTGATGGGACAACGCTATTGTTCATGTGTCTGCGGTAAAGGGAGATAACGTACCTATAAGTTCGGGAATTTCAGACTAATGTAGCAATGGCTAGATGTTGTAAAGCTTGTGGTCATTGCTTCAGGAACATGAGGTGTGACATGCTCCTCGAAAATTTGATATCACTTCACATTTGAGGATTCATATAACTTGGCTGTAATTTTGTTTAATGTAGGCATTTATATTCTTAAACCATTCAACATATATATTACTCTTAACTGATGGCTGATTAAGGTCTCTTGTACGTTTCTATGATGTTATTATAATATTTGTATATATTGTAATGAACCTTATATGTATGTATTATATATTATAGTGCTATGAGAGATCAGTATATGAGAACTGGTGAAGGCTTTTTATGTGTATTTGCTGTTAATGTTGCCAAATCTTTTGAAGATATCAACACATATAGGGAACAAGTAAGTAATTAAATTCATTTGTACACAATTAGTCATATAAATAAATACAATGCAGCATTTTGGAGATAAGTTTTGACTTGGTTGTCCATATGATTTTAATGTGAAATTACATTATTTAATTAAGGTGGCATTTGATTCATACAATGGTTAAACAGTGTATATATTATTTGACCAGTTAAAAATATTGCAGACTTCTTTAAGAAAGAAAACATCACACGCCTAGACTAATTATAACTCTAAATAGTTACATCATTGCATGATTTATTGTTGACGTCATTCATTGTCTTGTAAAAATCTTATCTATGAAATACAGAATATCATGTTTATGGTGGAAGTCACTAACAAAATAAATTTTGATAATATACATGTAGGTTTGTGTACAAAAGCAACTTTCTGGTATTATTAAATTTCGAACTTGTAAAAATCTTATCTATGAAATACAGAATATCATGTTTATGGTGGAAGTCACTAACAAAATAAATTTTGATAATATACATGTAGGTTTGTGTACAAAAGCAACTTTCTGGTATTATTAAATTTCGAACGTATAAAGGTATAGCCTTTCTTATTTTGTGAGCTAGTATCAGTTGCTTATTGTATTATTGTTTCAGATTAAAAGAGTTAAAGATGCTGATGAGGTGCCCATGGTTTGTAAGTAAAATGATTTCTTTGAAACTTGACAACAATGATCCAATAATAATATTGTTCATATTCAATTTGAATTTAGAAAGGACATTGATTTTATAACTTTTATGTACTCTCAAAATATTTTGTCAAATATATGATAGAGATTGTGCTAGACTTTGCTTATTTATTAAGGGCTTAAGCTAAGTAATGTGACATTTAGCTTCAGGTCTGGAGAGATTGGTTTGCATTATAACATTATTGATTATGGTTTTGTGATATTATGCTTGCAAACACTTAATTCAAATAATATCATATATGTTACTTATTAATAGCCTTAGTCACGACCTTCATAGAGTTATTAAGTTACTATCAACACTTCGTATATCCCTTTATTAACTTGGCTTAATTCTCACATCAGCATTTTTATTAGTCTAATATGTTGGACTCAACTATGTTGGTGTTTGGGATACGAGATCTAGGGGATAGTTAACAATAAGGTTCATGGTATTTATCTCCTGGTGGTTTAACATCTTCTTCCACAGTTAACTCAGCTGACAGCCTGTTTTTATACACTCACATTGAAATATGATTGTACATTGTCATGACCCCTGTCAATCTGTGGTCTACATTTGCTTGAAATTTATACACATTTTTTATATTCTTAAGATGATGACTTCTATTGATTTTCAATGATTTCTGAAATTTGAAACTACTAAAATGTTATCATCTGTTTACCAGTACATGTTTTGTATAATAAATGTTAGTACCAAGAAGAACTAAAGCCAATTAAATTGAACTTATTTCTGATAATTACTTCATGGGTTAGTGTTGCTCACCGAACCAAAATTGAGAGTATATTTCATTGCCTGGAAACCTGTCTTTAAGATTTGAAATTTATAATAAATGGGAATAGCTACAAGCCAACAAAATTTTGATTATATCTGATTACTTCATGGGTCCTTACTTTTTATCACTTTTTTGTGTCCATTAAGTTCTCCCATTATGAAGAAGCCTGATTGATTTTCAACAATTTTCGATAATTACTGTCAGAGTTGAAGTTCATTAGATGAAGAAGCTTATTCTTTTTCAATGATTTCCACGGATTACTGTTATGTTATAGTCCTTGATCAATTTAAAAAATCTTGCAGCTAAACTTGTTTGCGAATGTCTTAAATTCATACACAGTGTTTATGTTGATGAGACATGAAGTCTATTGATTTTAAACAATTTCCAACAGCTAAAGTTATCATCTGATTATATCAGTACATATTTTACTGTAAATATTTGTTGCTTTTTGCATGTTTCTTTGCTTGGCAACCTATCTTAGAGTCTTGTAAATGCTCCCCTTATCTGCATAGGAATTAATATGTGACAGCCTTTGTTGACTTCTCGGACGACATAGTTACTGTCGGCATATCTTTTTATCAGCAGATTTGCAAATTGTATCTCAAGCATTCCATAATAAATGTCCTGTTCCTGAAGCAAGTCTGCGAGTTTTACAACATCTGGACATTGCTAGATTACTTTACAATTCCCGAACTTATAGCTACGTTACCTGCACACACGAGAACAGTAGGGTCCAATCAGAGGTTGTGACATAGTTACTTCCACAGAAACCTTGACATTGAAGAACCTTGATCTTTGCAACTCATTTATCACTGGTAAACATTTTAGCTAAAAGTGCGAGACTGGGTATTCGCAATGATTGAGGAATCTGATAGACTCCCAAGCTGGGTGAATACCCAATTGAAATTAGTGTCAAAATTTGCAGGGTATTATGTGAAGGCCTTGATAAGATGTATGTAGTGAAAGCAGCAAGATCAAGCCTTCTATTGAAGATGAATAAATGTAAGATTATGATTTTGTATGTTTTTAGTGGTAGGTAATAAAGTAGATCTACAAGCTCGACATGTTGATAGTAAACAAGCTAAACAAGTAGCAGATAGTTATGGTATACCTTATGTTGAAACCTCAGCTAAAACACGACAAGGGGTTGACGATGCATTTTATACACTTGTTAGAGAAATCAGGAAATATGTAAGTAATTAAATTATTGGGTTTTTTTTGCGGATATAATCTTGAAACTTTTTGAGCTAAATTACCCTGGAGCTGAGCCAAGAGAATGCTTGACAATTCTATCAAGACTCTTCTTATTGGAAGTTTTTGATTTGATCAGACACTTTTGTGATGAGCGAAATTTTGTTAGGAAAATCAAAGGTTAGTTTGCATTGCACATAAAAAAATTTGAAAAATAAAATTGCTGTATTGGGCGACATCTTAATAACATTTGATACGCTGTACAGATTTTTGACATATGCTATGAAATGATCCCAGTGATAAAACAGGACCTGGAGTGTTAAACTAACTGTGTTGAATGACCAAACGCTGTTACACTTTATTGTTCCCCACCTTTCGAAGAAAGCAGGGGACTATTAAATTGGGTTTGTGCGTCTTTTTGTCCGTCCGTCACACTTTTTGGGACACAATAACTCTTGTCACACTTCTAATTGAGCTAGAATGTTCAAACTTGCTGAAGGTGTTTATTAGGTCAATGCCTTGATGGAGTTCGAAGATGAGCATTTTCTGCTTAGGGTAAGCAGAGATAAGGAATTTGATTGGTTGATGCTTTGGGACACGATAACTTTAGCTCTAATCAAGTGAGAGTGATGAAACTTGGTGTAGAGTTTCATTACATCAATACCTTGACTAAATTCAATAATGAGCATTTTCTGCACAGGGTAAGTAGAGCGATAAGCAATTTGATTGGTCAAGACTTTGGAACACAATAACTCCTTCTAATTGAGCTAGAACGTTCAAACTTGGGGTAGGTGTTTATTAGGTGAATGCCTTGATGGTGTTTGAAGATGAGAATTTTCTGCTTAGGGTAAGCCGAGTTAAGCAATTTGATTGGTTGATGCTTTGGGACACGATAACTTTAGTTCTAATTAAGTGAGAGTGGGGACACTTGGTGTATTGTTTTATCACATCAGTACCTAGACTAAATTCGATAATGAGCATTTTCTCCTCAGGGTAAGCAGAGTGATAAGCAATTTGATTGGTCGAGACTTTGGAACATAACAACTCTGTTATTAATTGAGGTAGAATGTTTAAACTTGATGTAGATGTTCATTAGGTGAATGTTTTGACTGAGTTCAACAATGATTAACATTTCGAGCTAAAGCTAAGCAGAGCTAAGCAGAGCTAAGCAAAGCTAAGCAATTCCATTGGTGGATGCTTTGGGACAAGATAACTTTAATTCTATCTGATAGAGAATGATGAAACTTTGTATAGTTGATAATCAGTTTGATTGCTTGATTCTTTTAAAAAAAATAAATGTGTGATTTAAGAAACATTATGTTAAATTAGATAAAGAGCTGGCAGTTCTCACTAGATAATGTAATGGGAATTTGCTGAAATTGATACACTCTGAACCAAGATTTTAGTGATTGAATTTCCGGCCTAGCCTCGATCATCATTACTAAAGTCTGTACGATAAAAAACATAATCTCAATTATCCATTTCATGATTAAATCATAAATATAAATTGAGCAGAAAATCGGAACCTAATCCAGTAAATATCGCAGGCCATCAAGAGTTGATTATGGTCTGGATAAGTTAATTAATGTCTAATTCATAATTTAGATAACATTTCAGGCCTAAAGAAAGACCTTGCATAATGTATGTTTAATTATTAATATGTGTCATCTTTTTATTTTGGGATTTCGATGGAGGACATCAGCCTCACTGTTGGCATGTTCATTATATTTTGAAACATGTAAATACCAGCAGTATGCGATTCTAATAAGTTTTATTTTCTGTTGTCAATAAAGAACACACAGGTTTCATGGTTTGGGCATGATAACTACAAGCAATGATCTTTATTGATGTTAACAGTCTAGTGAGCAAATTTCAGACATGTGAAACAACCGGCCAGATGTTGACCTGTTTCAGTGACCCAGATTCACATTTTATTTGGGCTGCTGGGTGGTCACAATGATCATAATATTATGTTATTTAGATGTTAATTCCCTTGTCCTTCCTCTTGCTTGATGTTTATTATTTTATTTTACAGAAAGAAAAGAAGGGAAAAGATAAGAAAAAAAGAAAGAGACTATGCAAACTTTTTTGATTATTTTTTTCTTTTATTAAATGTAATTCTATTATTGTGCTGTTTTTCAATATTTGTTTAATATTACTTGAAACTTTATATATTTTTAATAAAAATTTCCAATTTATTTATTCTTTTCTGTCATAGTTAAAGGAAGAGATCCGAGTTTGTGTTTTGCTTGATAGGTCACCCTAAATAAATCTTAACAATTCATATTACAGATGCTGATTGTCATTTGCATTTTTGGAAAAGTTCAAATTTTTACAGCTTTACCTTTAATTAAGAAAACAAAATCAAATTATCTATGGTAGCTAATCTTCCGGCTTGGATTCAGCCCGTTTAAGGTATTGCGAAAATTGTGGGTGGCAGTAAGTTTCTTTGACCATTTACCATTCATATCGTCTGCAACCTGACAAATTTTCAGTTCATCATATCTTTGTTAATATGTATGGATGTGAACAGTTCGGGCTGTCATTCCTTTTAGAGATTCAACTTTCACAGTAGTTTGCAACGAATTTAAAATGCCTCAAATGACAATCAGTAAAGAAATAGACAAACTATACTATAAAAGATACCAGAAAATGAACCTATATTAAGTCATCCTAACTGATGCCATATATTTAATCTATGACAAAATTGAGGGATTCTCTTCCTTTAAGAAGATCTTAGAGTAATTGATATCAATATTCTTTTTAATTTGTTGGAATATAGTTTTACTAGAGAGAGTTAATGATGGAGAGGGATAGAATTTATATTCAAATATTAAGTTTATTGCTTTTTTTCAAATGCGAAAATTCTAAATAAGAGTTATCAAGCTTCCAACTAATGTTTTTATTTAGAACATTCAAATTAGTTGATGTATTTTGTAGGAGATTTTTTTTTTTTTTAATTTGTGAAATAATTCTGTGATAACAGTATTTTTCTGAGTTGAATTACTTCGCTTCTCAGAAAATGTAGCAAATTTTGTTAATTGTATTATAAATATCCAAAGTTAACTAAAGATAAACATGTACATAGATATAAAAGCATGTAGAATATTTCTATCTTTATTCTTTACGAGTAACTATTAATAATAATGGCTATTCTGATATAACATTAATTTTAATTAAAGCGTCTTTTTTCAAAACAAAATAAAAAGTGTATATTTTCCCCCCATCCCTAATGGTAAGAACACTAATGTAAGATTGAATTGAATATTTCTGATATTATAAAAATATCATTTGAATAAATTAGGATAGATAATGATTAAAGTTGTAAAACATATGAATATCTCAGTATGTAAATACAACTATGAACATTAATTTATGTAAAATCACATCTTTTGATACCTTGAAATTAATTACTTTATCAATCATAGTCATTAATTGTTCATAATTTTTGTGTGTGATACGGCCATTTGATATTTTGTGTATTTAGTTCTCTAACTTGAGTATTGTTTATATAAAATGGAGGACATTTTCATTGTCCATTTGTATCCCGATTATTATTTGACATCAGTACAAATATATATACCAAATCCTCTTTTTTATGGAAAAAAGGACAATTAACAAATAAGGCGTATATAATATATATATATATATATATATATATATATATCACTCAAATAACATTAACATTGTAAATATTCAGTTCTTTATTTGTGGGACATTGATTGTGAACATTGTTTGAGCATTTTAAACAGACTTTATTAGAATATACATGTACTGATGAGGACTAGTCATATTACTATAGAAACCAGACCTTCCATACAATTCACCACAATACTCAAGTCTTATAGACTTACAATCGTAGGTAATTGTTAAATATTACCATCCAGGAAGAGTTATCTCCCGTTTCACATGATTTCAAGTTGTACACATTGACATACGTTGCTAAACTTGTACATGATTGTACATTGGTAATCTCCAGCCGGTGGTTGCTACTGACCTTTGATTTATACAATATTGTATCTCATCATCGTAGGATATTCTTGTATATAAAGCACTATAATTGAATTGAATTTGTTTCCAAGATGTTTCAAAGAGAGATAACTTATTTAATGGAAACTACTCGAACAAATGGGAAATTGTATTGGGTGTTCTTGAATTGATAACCCTAACATACTTCCCTCTTACTGACACGATCCACAATGTTAGGCCTATCAGAAGCACAAAAATATTTGTTATTGGAACAAACTTTCTGCCAGAAGATCCGGACAAAATACTATTTCAGCAGAACGCATTGTAAAGATTCATGTTGAGCTTTAAGGTTGATATCAATCTGACTTAGAACAAATTCTTTTTAACATATAACAGATTATAAAAATAGACAGCATACCTATATAATACAGATGTTATTTATTTTGATTTAAGTCTATCCATTCGGGGATATTGCATGTAATCATATATTTAAAAACCAACACATACAGGATCATACTTGATTATTATAAAATAACAGGTACATGTATTAATTGTAAATATAATTGTTGTTATACACTGTATGATACATGCACCTGATACACAACACCTCATTAATACATAAGCATTGATTTTGTTGATCTCATTGTTAGTAAATTTATTTTAATTATACCACAGCTAATAATTGATTAGTCCTCATCAGTTGGGATTCTCAATGTTGATTATAAGTACCTGTGGTATGCCAAATTGACATTCTTTAGTTTTCATGTTTTTTGTCTGATATGGCACACCAGAGGTTCGGAACAAATCTGAAAACAACGGAAATTGTTTATATGTGTAATATTGTGTTTTAAGCATCACCTTAGAATAACAAATTTTAGATTTTAATTCTAATTAAATGTTTGTATACTATAGGTATGCCTTACGTGCTTTAACTCTTTATATTTAAAAATGTCTCGCAATGAAGGTATGCCAGCTAAAAGCTGGTAGGAATTGACTATATTACAGATATATGTAATAGTATGAATTGTTTTATCTGTGAATGTTATATATAGAATGTAATATATCTTCAAGTCTAATCTGCTGTCAGTAGTTTAAGTTGATGGTTATAAAATTTTCATTACATGCTTCTGTTGCAAAGTTGGCTATTTGTATTTAATGTGGTTAAAATATTATAAAGATAATTTATTAATTAATTAGATTCATTAAAATATATAAACAATATTGACTCAAAAAATAAGATTTCTATCCGAAGAAGCTGATTTATTCAATTTACTCAAATTTTTAAAAAAATATTTAGGGAAACAATTATTTTCAAAAGATGTAAATATGCTGTTTTCTATCATGTTGGTTATTTTGGTTAAGTTGTCCGTGGGTCATTCCAACCTGAGCGGCAATTGCTGATTGTGTGACTAGCTATGTATGTATTAGGTGTATGACATCTTTAGTAATATCACTTCTGGTAATTACATTCAAAAGGAAAAAGTTCAATTTTACGATTAATGTGCACATTCCAGTGTGCCAATCCTACAATATAGTAATAATGAGAAATTTTAAGTACCATAGGCATACATTTTACATGCTTCATGTTTTAATAGATCATTTAATTGCAGAAATTCTTTTAAAATTTAAATACATTGTAAAACATTTGTGGTCACCTCCACAAGTTATTTTTTAATAACTCCAATCCCGCCTATGTAATAATGTTTCATGTAGGATGTTTGGTTAGTTATTATCAGATTATATTGGCATAACCTAGAACATGTAGAATGTATGTATGCTGTATCTACTGAATTGTTCCTTAAACATTTGGGGAGATATATTTTGTAATATGGTATAATAATCTTGAATAGTTTATTTTAAACATGACTATATATGGTACTTGTATGTGTGTTTATTATATATCTATATATACACATAGTACATATTTTAATGTGTAGAAGAATATACACATTTTCTACATATAGAAAGTAGTTTGTATTCTGAAAGCTAGATTTTTATATTGTATATGTTTGAAGTATATTGTGTTTTCCATCCAATAACTGTTCTTGTAATGCTCAAATAAACATTCCTCTTCAGTCCCACAGATTTATATTCGTTGAGTTGTTGAATTAATTATTACATTGTCATCGAAATATAGTACGCATATTGTCCAGGTGGTGTCTGTTCAAATGGTGTTGCTGGACATGGGTCATGGGTTCTTTAAATTAAAGGAGCAAACTGAGACCTTTAATGAAATTCAGCCAAATTTTATGAGCTTTATTGAAATGAAGTTGCTCAAATTATTAAGCACTGTGCAAATGCACCAACATTTATGTAGCGATGTTGGATGTTGTTTCGGTCGTAGCTATAGATGGGGGCAGCTTGAATTTACAAATGTTGATATTTTCTTTGAAACCAACCAAATGATTTCAGCATTAGTTAGGGGCATTATTAAAGATACATTATGGGGGATTAGATAACGAGTTGGCAGTTCTCGCTGTAATAGTTAAAAAGTAGATAATGTATAGGCAATTTGTTGAAAATTTCATTCAAATTGATCCACTATGAACCTAGAACGAAGCGGTTGAAATGTTATATAAACTATAATTTAGACATTTATTAACATGACAAGACCATAATCAACTCTCTATGCCATTGGATATCTCAGATATTAAGTAGATTAGAACTGTTCAGCCATATTTTTGATATAATTTAAAAATGGAGAAGCGAGAGCGAGGCTTAGCTTCGAACAACCAGTACAGTGGTTGCAATTAATGCACACATCTTGTCAAATTTTCAAAGGCTAATATCTTCGCTCGCAATAGAGTAATTTGAATGAAATTTTCAATATATTCATTTTGCATTATCTATTTTCGAACTAATATAGCAAGAATGGCTAGCTCTTTATTTATATCTTACATAGTGTATCTTTAATAGAACACTGGTGGCTGATTAAGCTGGTTGTGGCTTATCAAATTCTCATTAAGACTAAAATATTGTGTTTTATATACATATATATATATATTATTATTAATACCTTGCTGGCATCAGTTGTGCAGTATTTCCCACTGGGGTAAGGTAAACAATTTAAGATAACTGTGATAATGACACTTTTGATTGCATCTAACAATTCTTTGATCATATAACAAAATTATGATACACCTGTCTTTTCATGGTTGTGGTGAGTGCCCTGAATGAGGCAGGAGTATGCTTACTTCCAATGGATGTTATATATCTGTAATATAGATATTTTACTACATGTATATTTTTAAGTTTATTGATGTACAACAAATCCTGATGAAACAAATAGACTTAGAATCATTTGTGAACCTATGTATATAATGAAATTCACACCAAAATGAGCTACAGATACAAAATTTCATTAGAGTTTTTCCCCTTTAGCAGTGTGCATTTAAAAAGTCTATCCACTCACTTGCACAATTGTTGAAGGGTATTTGTACAAGACTTCAGACCAGCATTATATTATGTGTCCCTTTATTTTTTGTATTCATTTAAATTTATGATAAAAACAAATTTCTCCTGACGCGGAGTTTGGGTAACTTTATCTACAGTCCACACATATATTTAATTAATGGCTCGTTCTGCCCTTGTATATTTTACTCCAATAATTCATAACAAAATATTGTATAAGTTCTATCTAGTTTGCAACCTTCCTAGAATACAAAATATTTGAATGATTCCTTGTATGCAAGTTGACATTGCAGTGTACAATAATTATTTAACCAGAGGAAATCAAATGGTGCCAAATAAAGTTTCAGGTATAATATGATTTAGAATTTTGTAGTATTTACCAAATTATAGGCAAGCAAGATGAAAAATGCTTGAGATCTAGAATTATATGATAAATAACATAATTTTTATGCTGGAGTATCTTGATCTTTAAATATGTTGTTACAAGTGAGTATTAAAGCTATCACATGTTAAAACAATGACTATGTGTGAGGCAGTAATGTGAATCATAACTTCTATATATCATAATAATAATAATGATAGAATACATACTATATATTATCTGATAAACTTGCTTTATAGTTTGGCACATAGGTTTATCATTGGGATTATTGAATACACTGAATCTGTGATTTAATAAATGTAATATTTCGATAGTGTGAAAGGTATGTCAACTTGCTTAATTAGGGACCTCTACACCAGTAAAAGTCTTTCTTAATATTCTTAAAAAGCTAAATAAAATGAAATTGCTTACCACATCATAGGAGCTGGAAAAACTGATCACTTTGAAAAATCTTGTGGAAATCTTGAGGCTGAAGTTAATATGGCCCCATAATCAAAGGTGTTAAGCTTTAATTGCAATTGATTATTATCTTTGTTGCATATTCTGTATGTATCATTTGCTTGATAAAGACGAGAGTATCCTCGTCGAGATGTCGCTTAGTATCAAACTCAGTAATTGTGTATCCATAAAATTGTACCTTGTGTTGGTCATGAGAAGAAGCTGATTGATTTTCAACAATTATGGTCTTTGACTTCTTTGAAAAATTTTGCGTATGCTAGGAAGACCATGGTTATCATCCGATTGGCTTCAAATTTATACACAATGTTTAAGGTCAAGTGACGAAGAAGCCTATTGATTGTCAATAATTTCAGAAAATTACTGTCAGATTTATGGCCCTTGATAACTATGGGTAATGTTGTGGTTGCTCCTGATAACCTTTTATAATTTGGCGTTATGGAAGATCATGGATCTCAGAACATTAGTAAACACTACAAGAGCATGTTGAAGGTCCTGCAACGTCTGGTGGATTCACTTGCTGACGAACACGTCGACCCAGTTCGTCCCAGATGTGTTCAATAGGATTAAGGTCGGGGCTAAGCGACAGCCAATCCAGGACTTGGACACCGGCATTTCTTAAAAAATTCTCGGTAGCAATTGCTGTATGGAGTCGAGCATTGTCTTGTTGAAACGTCAGTCCAGGCCCATGTCTCTGCATAAACGGAAGCAGAACAGGTTGCAAAATCTGATCCCTGTACTGGACAGCATTTAAGTTCCCTTGGACAACAACAAGAGGAGAACGTCCATGTGCACAAAAAGAACCCCAAACCATGACGCTGCCGCCACCAAATCGGTCATCTTCTCTGACGCATACTTAAGCGTAACGTTCACCTCGTCTGCGGTACACTCGGACCCTCAAATCTCAAAGTGAATCGAGATTCGTCACCAAAGACAACCGAATTCCACTGTCTTTGAGTAAATTTTATGTGTCCTGTGGTCCACACAAGTCGGTTACGGCGATGAAGAGGTGTCAATATTGGTCCATTATGGGGCCTCCGAGCTCCAAGACAAGCAGCCTGCAAGCGATTTCGAACCGATTGTGCAGTTACCCTTCCACCAAACGATCTCTCTACTTGTGGAGGTTGCAGTGACAAATCTGTTTCTAAGATGACGTAATCGTATTGCTTGATCTTCCTGGAGTGACGTCACACGTGGTGCCCCCGCCCTTGGGCGGTCGGCAATAGTTCCAGTTTGAAGCACTCTCATTCTAAGATTAATTATTGTCTGGCGTTAACAATTAAAAGCTCTTGCAACATTGACCACAGACTGACCAGCATAGAGCCTATATAGCACGTAGACGTTCTACATTTGAAAGGCGCGGCATTTTCTAACAAAGATGAAATTAATAACGATTTTAATTTGTTTTTCCAGTTCAAGTTACGTGTGCGTATTCAGTTTAAACAAACTTGCATCGATTGACCTCACGAGTTTGTGTTTGCACGTGTTTTTCAGGTTTTTCATCTTTTTTTGCTCAAAAGTCACATGATCCACGTGACTTTACAATTTTATGAAATTAAAGGCTTCTTACTACTTACTATCGTTAGAAACACTTTAAAATTTATTTGACTTACCAGGAAAAAAAAATTGTTGAAATTCATCAGTGTCAAGATTTTAATTTGGCTGAGTATATTAGCGATTGAATTTTAGGGCTAGCCTTTATCATCATTACTAAAGTCTGTACGATAAAAAACATAGTCATGATTAACCATTTTTGGATTTAATCATCAATGAGCGTTGAGCAGCAGATTGGATTCAAATAAATCTGAAACATAAGATGGCATCAAGAGTAGATTAGCAGATTGGATTCAAATAAATCTGAAACAGAAGATGGCATCAAGAGTAGATTAAGGTTGTTTCATGTTAATAAATATCTAATTAATAGTTTATATAACATTTCAGGCCTAAAGAAAGACCTTTAATAGGCAGATTAAGCTCTTACATAATGTATGTTTAACTGAGGGATTGCATTGTTCACTACCACTAACCAATACATTATATTGCTCCTTGATAATCCTAATCATTTGGTTTTTCTTGAACATATTTCTGGATTTTAATCTATAAAATATATATGATCCGGAAATTATTTATTGTATCTTTTTTATTTAAGGAATATCTTCACAGGTATTTGTCACCGAATTTCAAAATGTTGAAATTTTACAAAATAATGTACTGTATTAATCAAAAATTTAGCTTCAATTCCTAATCAATAAAGAGTTGACAAGCTAAAACATCCCTTCATTTTATTACAAGACCAATCTAGGTTACAATTTTAACACTTCATTGCAGTACAAAATACAAAAACAAAATATATTTGACATATGATTTTAGATGTCTTATTGATAGTAGATTGTCACAGGAAGATGATGGATATACAATGCATTCCAACTACTCTATAGAGAAGCAGTGGTGAAGGTTGAGTTTGTGCATCCCCCCAAATCTCTTACGCAAAATACAACACAATACATATTATCAAACATACTTACTTAAACTATTCACTGTATAATGTTGTCACCCTGTACGCAATAGAGACTACAGTTTAACAATTTTTTCTAAATTTTTTGAGTGGAGCATTGGAGTCATGAGAAAGCAAACTCTTCAATATTCTGTCTTTTGCAACTGTAACCTGTATAGTTACACCTCTTTTTCCAAACGCCTTGTTAAAGTCATAGGAGCTACAGTTTTTAACAGATGGTTTTCAAAACTGGTGTGAAGCATGAGGGTCATGGGTACACAAAATATATCAATTTTCAGCGTTTTGCACTCTTTACGTTCCGGAGTTACCCCTTTTTGCTGTAACTTTGTGAATGCGATGAATGCAATAGAGGCTGCAGTTTTTAAAAGATTCTTTACAAACTGAGTGTGAACTGTTTTGGGCGTAAGATGAGGAACCCCATTGGTATTCAGTGTTTTTATTCTAGGACTTTCTGTTCTAGAGGTATTATATGTGTCTGAAAAAGCTTGTAATTACACCATAGAAATCAAATTCCTTGAAGGCATAATCAACTTCCAAGTTTTCCTGCTGTTTATGGCATTCTTCTTTTGTCTGACATAGCTGCTGTGTGAGCGTATTTTCAAGTTGCAGCTATGAGCTTCTCTATTTTTTATCAATGCCATAGGCCCAAAAATCTGGCTCCCACAATCAGCTGCCCCTACCTTTCACAGGTACATTGCAGAGAAGCCCTTTAGTATATAACATATAGGGAACTAACTATAATGCTGGTGTAGACAAAATCTGTGATCAAGTTATAGTGAAGTTCCACTGTAAGTTTATCAGTAATATCCTATACTTACATAATATATAGATTAATTTCAGTAATTGAATTAATTAAACCTTGTAATACATGTAGTAGTAGTAGTTGTAGGCTATATAGGGTAGGGTCATCAAGGTAAAGCTGTCAAGAAGATTAGATACCATCTTTGAAAATGAGCCAACACATTTCTTGCACATCATGTACAAAGTTTTCTCAGTCTGTTTTCTACACAAGACTTGTAGTCTGTATGCATTGTGCCTCCATCTAAAAATACACAGGCAGTGAGAAACAGTGCAATATCATTTTGTGAATATCATTGACAAGGAGAGATTTAGTACTCTACAATTAGATGCTAGTCAGGCTGTTTATTTGCAGAAACAGTTACTATGTGGGTAAATTTGGAATTATTGTATATATATATTAGAACAGTGTGACACATAAGTTATGAATTTATTTGATTATCTGTGAAGACGAAGTATAGGCCATATAGTGTTAATACAATTTAAGTTAAGTATTTTTGTGTTACACATAAAGACCTAATGCTTAGTTTTGGTAGTTAGTCTGTTTGAGAGTATATAAGTATAGTTCCTGTATGTTTATGAACATATGTTTTTAATTTTTTAGTACCTTTACTACATGTGGGTCACTACAACATTATTGTAAATATAAGATGATATTTTTAGATAAAGGCAATGAAAGAAAAACGGACAGGCCAGAAGATAGTACATAGCAGACATCAGCCATAGAAACAATTCCATCCAGCTTACAAGTTGGGTAACATTGTCAGGCGTTTCCTATAATAGAATTTCTACATTCTCCAACATAAAGGTGAGTGCATGTATATCTAGTATATAGGTAAAAACAGACATATTTCTACACTCTTATATATACTGATGTATGTATTTTGTTTGTATGTATGTAGGTATTGGAACTAGATATAATTTCAAACATTATCATCGGTAGAATTTCAAACATAACTGAAGATTTGTATTAGATCTTGGTACAATAAACCTTGAACTCCCAGTACAAAATGACTTAATATTAGAATATCTTTGCAACATGATGTGTTTCTTAGAAAATAAGTCATATTTCAGCTTGACATATTACAAATTTAATATTTGTATCTTATAAGATTTTTTTTTACAGGAAAATGAATAATGTTGTCTAGAACAGAACTAGATTTACTTTCATATTCAAAATCTTACTTAGGTATACTGAAGTGTGGCGTGTAGTGGTTTGGTGATAACAGGGGCCAGCCCCCAAGTTTCACGTATTGGGCTTATTAGTACTGAGAAATTTGAAAAAGGAAGACATTTTAAATACTTAAAAACATAATTTCTTAATTTCCCCCAGGAAATGGATTGTCAGAGCCATCGCTCCCTCTCCACCCCCACCCCATCCCCATCCCCCACCCATGTAAGATGGCATGGTTTTGTCATATTTATAAATATATTTATATAGATATTGTGATACACTGTTGTATTTAGCATAAGTATAGAATGTAGGTAAAACATTGAAAGGTTAACTCTAGGTAATTTACACACTGGTATAAAGATGGTTACTTGTCAAGAATTAACATAAGCCATATGCTTTGCCAAGTTTCTCATAGTTAGTAGCCTACTAAAATCAGAGGAGGGTAGGTGTGCAAAAAATAAAAGAAACCAGAAATGGTTGATAATGCTCGATTCCGATGTGATTTCCCAATAGGGTATAGGGGTGTGTGTGTGGCTATGTGCTCTTGAATTTCCAAAGGGTTGCCTGAATGTCATTATATTCCCATTCCCCTAATAACATAATACCTACCTTCTTTTCCTGCTATACTTCCCTTGTCCCAAACAGATCCAGTGATACTAAAAACCAATTGTGTTCAATGTACATACATAACCATCGACCAATCCTTCTTGCTTGTTGGCCATCAGGCTCAGTAGGACAGGAAACCAGTTAACTCTGCTGGTGGACGACGGATTGTTGCTGGTATCTAATTCTCTCAGATTTAGGTTTCGAAAAGTTAGCAGATTGCAACCATTTGTAATCACAACTCTGCATTTAGCCCTATATTAAAATTGTCAGGGTCGGACTGGGTAGCTCTGGTCCTTCGTACCAACATATTTCGCCGGGCCCCCTTCGCGGTGAAGAAGGCGTGATATGACGAGAAAAGGGAACTTAGTTTGATTCACTATTCATGCACCCCACTCATAGATTATGTTTCTCCCCAGATTCAGGCCATTATATTTCTCAGTGCATACAAAGATGAATTTTAGTTGTTTTGAAAAAAATATGTCAAGTTATGTTTTCCAATAGGGGTCAATGGGCCCTGATTATACTGATGACTTCCAGATTAGATTTCACAGCTGGATAAAAATATTTTCATGATATTCAGAATCAATTAATTTGTCTTTGTTTTAATATTTATCTAAATGAATTAGGAAAATGAAAGGAAATCAAAAATTGCAACACGGGCGACGAAAATGTTTGAGCTGTTAGCATACTCAAAACCAATACGCTAACCGTTACTACAAACCATTTTGACATTAATTCTGTCACCAGTAACATAAAGTTAGGCTTAAAGGAGCTAAATCGCTAACATTTGGGACCTAGAAATTCACAAAAGTGGGTCGCAACGCATATAATACTGTAATATGAATGTATTTAAACTGATTTACATTTAATGGTTTCCGTTTTTACTACAATTTCAAATCAGTTATGTTCGGCGAAATAAGTCAGCAATCTCAATCGAGTGCAAATTTCTAGCGTCTAGTTATTCTAGTCTACATAACTCCATTTGATTTGGTGCAATGTGTCTAGCCTTGTCCCTCGAGTCTCTCAATACAACTGGGGCTGAAGTGCATTATGGTACACAATTCGTGTACCAATGTTAAAAAAATTATTTTATCTTAAATATCGGATATCAGAAGCTCATCTTTTCCCGGTAAGTTTACATCATCAATGTTGATTTAAATTGACCAATAATTCGTGTTTTCGATGTCGAAGATTTTGGAGGATTTTGAGTTACGGACTTAGGTCCTTTAAAGTAAACTTTTTAGAACAGTGCTATGGTCGGTGTCTAAATCTTGATCATCTTCTTGCTTTTGGGTTGGCATCAGTTCTGTGAAGTGCTACTCCTCCCTCATTAGTGAACAGAATCGAATGAAACTTGACATACCCTTTGTAAGGAATAGCAGTTCCTTTTGAGTCTTGATTTTCTTAATTCATTGGTCGTTTAGTTCTTAATGGTTGCTAACTATGTTCATGTTCAGGACTTTAAATCATAATCCCTAAACAAAGTGTTAATGTATGGTATGCCATGGCTCTGATATACATCCAATCAATTCTAGCATGCAACACCCACAATTTTTATACGCCCACATTTTCAAGTGGACGTATTATGCCGTCGCCCCTGTCCGTCCGGACAATACACCAATACTCCCACAATTTTTATACGCCAACATTTTCATGTGGACGTATTATGCCGTCGCCCCTGTCCGTCCACAATTGTTTGTGGACTCTCTACAGGTCACAATTCTTATCTGATTTTGACGAAACTTGAAATATAGGTTTATCCCCAAAAGATCTCGGCTGCTTCAGATATTGGCATGTATCGGATCGGAACATCATGGATTATGGCCCCTGATTGTACGAAAAATCACGTTTTTAGCTTGTGGACCCTACAGAGGTCACAATTTTTATCCGATTTTTTTAAAACTTGAAATGTAAGTTTATAACCCAAAGATCTCAGTTCCTTTCGATATTCGCGCATATCGGACCGTAACTTCCTGAATTATGGCCCCTGATTGTACGAAAAATCACGTTTTTAGCTTGTGGACCCTAAAGAGGTCATAATTTTTATCCGATTTAAAAAAAACGTATTATTATATCACCGTTACACCCTAAGGACGACTGAGTTTGAATTTCGTGAAAATCGGCCCAAAATTGGCAGACAAAATGGCCCTTGATTGTAGGAAAAATCACCTTCTTGTTAGCTTGTTCTCTATCCATCTCTCGAAAATGTGGGCGTATCCTGCCTGGCAGCCGCTGGTTGAAAATAGTAGGATTTTGGTCAGCGTCGGACCTTCCTTTACGATGCTAAACTCCCTTTTCCGAGAACCTTGTGAATGTGATATAGGCTATAGTATTTAACAGATTCTTTTCAAATTCGATGTGAAGCATTGTGATCATGAGAGGACAAACCCTATCGATAATCAGCTATCCACAACCTTTTGTTTTAGGAGACTTATTCATAAAAATATAAACTAAAATATTTTAAGAATTCAGCATTCAGCCCTTTCATTGGACAAGAGCTGAATATGGCCCCAGAGTTGTGTGAGTTTATGGGAGGACTAATCCTATCAATATTCAGCATCCTGTGACTTTCCGTTCTGGAGTGACCCACCTTTTCCCTGACAATTGCTTGTTTTTAGATGATTTGGACATTGGATTGTTTAGCATGAGATATATGGATTAAATAGTACAGGTTTGAGATAATATCAAAATTAAAATTTTCTTGAGATACGTTGTTTAGCCCTTGTGGGTGCACGTTGCGAAAATCACATAACAGGTATCATGTCAATATGAACCCCAGTTATAATTCAAAGTTTTTACGTAGAGATATATTTGAATTAAAAGGTAGCAGTTTGCTTTTTATTTGCATTCATATTTGACACCTTATAAACAACTAAATTATTATCCAAATACATTTTAGTGACATATGGAAAAGATTTAATAATTCTCACAAAATTGCTACTTTGTGTACTATGTGATAAAGAGGTTAAATGACAATTCACGCTTGATACAAAAACCATTGAATATTTAGAATTCATCAATTAATTTTTGGTATTTGTAACATGCAGATGCTAAAGAGAGAATACTCTGGCATATGCAATATGGTATCAGGCAGCAAACACATTAGCAAAATCCCTACTGTGAGTTATCAATTAGGGGTCCGATTGGACCCCATGTTCCCTTCAAGCATTGGATTTGGACCCGATTTGCATGTAACATAACTCTGCATGTGGGAAGCAGATGAATACCAATCTCTTCACTATGTATAAAAATGTATAGGAGAGAAAGTCACTAAATTTCAGAAAGCAGTGCCCAGTAGTTATTACAAAACACTATAAAACATGTGCATGGGGTCCACTGGGACCACACACGTGCACCGACAAGGATTTTAAGGATGGAAGATTATATAGTGTAGCATTAGGATAATGTAGAGATTAAATATAGTAGAAATTACTATAATTCTTCTTTACGTAGTATTTTAGTAATTGATAGGTAATAACACAACACATTTATATGGATAACAATTACTGGTTTATTTGCTAGCAGCATTTTGATGATGGTATTCTCATCTTTATCAAGCAAGTAATCAGATAATGTTATGTTTAGATATTATAGAGAGTGTGTATTATAGAGATTAGATGGTGTTGAGATTAGATATTGTAGAAGTTACCCTAAATATTGTAGAATTTAGAGATTAGTTATTGTAGAATAAAAAAGATTAGGTATTGTAGAGAATGTATATTGCAGAGATTAGATCGCTATTGTGGATGATAGTTATTATAGATATTAGTTATTGTAGATATTAGATAGTGTAGAGATTAAGTGTTGTATTGAATAGATATTCTACAGATTAGTTATTAAAGAAATTAAATAGTGAAGAGATTAAATATTATAGAGAATTGATATAGAGATTACTTTTTGTAGAGTTGATTTTTGAAGAGATGATTTTTGAATAGATAATTTTTGCAGAGATTAAGTATTGGCGATATTATATATTGTAGAGTAGGAATATTGTAAAGATAGTAAATGTTTCTGATTTATAAAACTAT